TTTTAGCTCTGTTAGTTTGGATCCTTAGCCTGTTCCCTATTGTCTAGTTAACTTCCACCCACAGAATTTTCAGTTTATGTATGATCTCAAAGAGTGGGAGAATAGCGTGGGTGTGATTCTAAGTTGTACCTTGAAATAAAGTCATTGCCTGGCGCCACTGTTTGGTAGAAAACAAACCCCATCAACATATCCAACCTGATGAATTAGGTTTTATTCAGTTTCTGTTTGGTTTTCCCATTCAGTTTATATTCTTTAAAAATTTGGCATGAATATCCGTGCCAGTTGTGTACCTGTTTCCCTTATATACAGTTTTTGTAAGCGGTTTCGTCTCAATCATGCATTTGTGTAAATTATTTTCAGTAACATGCACATTTTAACATGGTTTTCATCCTAATATTTTATATTCATGCTCGATCTGAAAACTGCATCTATAACTGCATTTTAGTTCAAATGGTAGCGTAGGTGAATTGCATTAAAGTGCAAGTCTTTTAAGTGCAGATGCTAGGAATTATGAAAGTCTGCATTAGAAAGTTTGATAAAGTAATGTGGAGACACTGCAGAAGAAAGTAATATTAGCTCTGATGCTGTGCCAAAGTGCACTGCATTGCATTTTTTTTACCTTGGCAAGGGTGCTGATTAAATAACTTGCAGTGCATTGAATCTCACATCATTGCACAGCCTGGGTCACAGGTGCCGTAGCACAATATAAAACATTATTTATTGTATTGAAATGTAATTGTCTCAGCCAAATAGTGTAAGAGTGCCAGGCCATTAACTGATGGGGAATTGTGCATTTATTCCCTCTGAATTATTCAACTGTGCCATTTGGATACCTATCTGCTTTGCATAATCAACATAGTTATTTCTATCATCTTTACAATTTGCGCTTGTCACTTTTCTTATTTGGCAGAGGCTGTTATTAGAATGAGCACAGGAAATTGGCATAATTCGTTTGTTCCTCGGTAACTTCAAACAGTATTTTTTGTCTGCTTTTTAAATAAATGCTGAGAAATTGTAGTATAAAAATTAATTAAAATTGACATATTTACTCATTTTTGTATCTATCTACTAAATCCAGTTAGTAGCTCCAAGTAGTTCTAAGTAGAGTAGAATCAGTTGGTGAATAGTAAATCAACACATGCATACATCTCATAGATTCAACTTTATTTTATTTATTTATTTATTTATCATGTCAGGAACAACCAGACAGTTGTATTACATTTTTAACAATACAAACACACAAACAAACAAACAGACAAAACACAAAGTTTGCAAGCTTGGTAGTTGGTTAAATGTCCTTTGACCAGTAGCTGGACACTTGGAGTGCTTCTGGTGTTGCTGCAAGAAGGCCCTCCATTGTGCATGTGGCAGGGCTCAGGTTGCATTGCAGCAGATGGTCAGTGGTTTGCTCTTCACCACACTCGCATGTCGTGGATTCCACTTTGTAGCCCCATTTCTTAAGATTGGTGCCAGAGCACAGTCTGTTCAGCGCCTTCCAAGTCACCCAGTTTGCTGTGTTCCCAGGGGGGAGTCTCTCATTTGGTATCAGCCATTGATTGAGGTTCTGGGTTTGAGCCTGCCACTTTTGGACTCTCGCTTGCTGGGGTGTTCCAGCGAGTGTCTCTGTAGATCTTAGAAAACTATTTCCGTGCTGGCTGATACCCAAACAAGGGATGAGCTGGAGATGTCACTGCCTTGGTCTTTTCACTATTGACTGCTACTTCCCGACGGATGTCAGGTCGTGCAATACCGGCTAGACAGTGTAATTTCTCCAGTGGTGTAGGGCGCAGACACCCCGTGATAATGCGGCATGTCTCATTAAGAGCCACATCCACTGTTTTAGCGTGATGAAATGTGTTCCACACTGGGCATGCATACTCAGCAGCAGAGTAGCATAGTGCAAGGGCAGATGTCTTCACTGTGTCTGGTTGTGATCCCCAGGTTGTGCCAGTCAGCTTTCGTATGATCACTTGTTCTTTGGCAACTGACATGCCTTCAATGTTGATTGAGATTATTGTTATGGTTAGCCTGAAAAAGTCCATTGGTTGTTTTGCTTGCATTCTGCAAGTCACTTCTGGTCGCTTCTGGAGTGAGAGAATCAGCCGTCTAAGAAGACGTTGCCCAGGGGACGCCCGGATGTCTTGCAATCCTGCGAGGAGGCTTCTCTCATGTCCCCCATAGATTCAACTGATCTACTCAAATTGGAACTAGCAATTGATTTAGGTCCAAAATGAAAGCCTTCGGATTCCATTCTCAGTAATCTTAAATTAATGCTTTTAATTTATAAGAGAGAGGTACTTTTAGATTGGATACACACACACACACACACATATTTACTCGAGTCTAATGCACCACTTAATCCAATGTGTGCCTCAATTTTCAAAACCCTGAAACCCAAAAAAGTATTTACCATATTACGCAAATCTAGTGCACAGTCTAATTTTGAGAAGGTAATTTAGTAAAACAAGATGAACATTAGAATCGATAAAATACTGCATTTGCCAGCATGATGTTGTGTCAAATATCAAACTGAAACTTTTAATATCTGAGTTCAAATCTCTTTTCACCTATGAAGCTCCTTAGATGATCTTGATGAGTCACTACTTCTAAAATACTTCACGGCATAAGTGAAGATAACATGGAGGAGACATGTATCCTGCCTTGTGTCATGCCCAGCTTGCATTACTCAGAGAGCGAAGGGGAAGAGCAAGTGGAAATCCCAGCTGCTGAGTTTGAGAGGTGCAGCTCCCAAACTTGGAGCTGGAAATACTAAGAGCTGAGCCTGAGAATAGCGGCTCCCAGCAGCCTCAAGAGCAGTGGTTGTCAACTTGGGGTCCCCAGGTGTTTTGGCCTACAACTCCCAGAAATCCCAGCCGGTTTACCAGCTCTTAGGGTTTCTGGGAGTTGAAAGCCAAAACATCTGGGGACCCACAGTTTGAGAACCACTGCTCAAGAGGGAATCCACATTTCTGAAACACAGACAAGAAAGGGAGAATAGCATCCAGACACCTTTATCAAACGGTCCAGAAACCTTTATCAAAAATGCTTGGCAATTAAGAAACAGCTGCAGGATGAGGATGGGCTATAAATCTAGCAACTGTAACTCTGACCTTTGTCGCTGACAACTGACTTGTGTGAAGGAAAGGAGGGTCAGCAAAAGTTGCAATTGCTATAGTCGAAGGGAGAAGGGAGCACTAAGCCCACCAAAGTTTAGAACTAGCTTGCATTCAGGTGTTAATGTTCATAATTAGGACACCTTATATGCCTCAGGTTGTTGGGGGAAATGACATAGGTATAGAAGATCACTTTGGAATCGTTATGTTGGCACATGAAACCACATTGGATCCCATGTTGGGAGAAAGGCAGGATATAAATTCAACAAATAAATAAAATTTAATCTTGTAGATTCCAGCAAGCTGGTAGGTTGAGACTAGCTTGGGGTTTGGCACAAAGCCCATTAGTACAAAACTTGATATTGTATTGTCATGAATATATTGCAAGACTTGGATTTAAACCTTTGAATTATGTTTCCGTTTAAGCATTATGGTGCATTTTTCATAGCTTTACAAGTAAAGGAACTGCATACTACACATTTTTAAAAAGTCCAACGTTCAATTTATTTATTTATTTACAGTATTTATATTCCACCCTTCTCACCCAGCAATTTAACATTCCTTGATGGAGTACTCCCTCATTCTTACCCACGCTGCTGGAAGGTTTTGTGGTGTCATAAATTAGTTAAGTTAGCCTCCCCGCATAAAGCGGTACCTAAATTTCCTACTTGACAGATGCAACTCTTTCGGGCTGCATAGGTCAACAGCAAGCTAAACAATTAATGGTCAGGAGCTCACTCCAACCCAGGCTGGCTTGGAACTCACGACCTCTCTGTCAGTAGGGATTTAATGCAGCTGGCTACTAATTAGCTGCGCCACAGCCCGGTTCAAACCTGCTACTTCCCAATCAAGTTCTCATACCTTAAATCTTTTATCTTCTATACTATTGTTTATCTGATGTTTTTCAGTTTAGAAAAGGGTGAGTTGTATTTGGACAGAGACATGCACTTTTGGGCTCATTCGGTCCCTTGTTTATTTGCTGAGTGACACTGGAAAATGCTTTATTGTTAAATAAAAGGTGGTAGGTTTTCTCTCATTGGAAGAAAGTCAAATGAATTAAATGGCGCAATGTCCTTCTGCTTACCCCCTTACCTATAATCTAAACTCTCCAAGTTAAATCTCAAATTATTTTAAAGAGTATATATTGGGGGTATGTGTACTGTTGTTCATCCAGTTTTCACTTTTCCATTTCTCTTCAATCTCATTATTATTTTACATTTGGGGCAAAGGGCTTTTGATCAACCTTGATTTGTTTTCTGGATGATTCCGGAGCAATTTCCTGGGTCGATGCAAAATAATGAAAACTGCTTTGGAACTCAGAGACTACTTAGTTGTAAGTTGAGCAGAAGCTTGCTTAGAATGGCTAAATATAATGTAAATTCAAATGACAACAAACTAATTGGCTTCTCAGGTGCCCTTTAAAAAATTGTGTTGATGAAACTGAATAGTATTTTTGTGGGTTTGGATCCAGAGTTATACTTCCATTAGCAAAATGACCCAAGTTGGAACAGACGAAATTTGTAGCCGCATTAGACAAAAGCTTATTTTCACAAATTGCTCTGGCTCACTCCATCTTTAAGCATCATTTCTTATTCCATCTTGGGACAAGACCATTCCAGAGCAGCTTTATGGGTAGCTGCAAGCTGCAGTGGTAGACAGGATTAATGAAAATTGCTTCCTCTTTCCTTCAGCATAAGCATCCCATGAGTTTACACTGATGGGTAGCCTGCGTCCAACCATAATCTGGAATGAAATGTTTCTTATTCTTTATAAAAGTGAATAAAGAATAAATGGAAAAAGTGATTACATTCTTACACTATAAATAACAAGGTATAAAATATTAAAACATTAGCTGGAAATATTGTTGAATTTTGTGTGTGTGTACAGGAATTTGACAAGAGGAGTTGGTAGATTTAGAGAGATTCTAAGAGCTGTTGAAACAAGAACTACACAAAATCTACGCATGGTAAGTTAAAACAGCTATGATAACTGCAATTGCATAAAAGAGTGTAATCCGATATTAACTATAAAGATTAGAGCCCTGTACGTGTTAACCTGGAAGCGAGCCCCACTGAATGCAGTGGAATTTATCTGTGGCTAAACATGAATAGAATTCAAAGACGTAGCCTAATTCAGTGGTTCTCAACCTTCCTAATTCCGTGACCCCTTAATACAGTTCCTTATGTTGTGGTGACCCCCAACCATAACATTTTTGTTGCTACTTCGTAACTGTAATTATGATATGAATCATAATGTAAATATTTGATATGCAGGAGGTATTTACATTCACTGAACTAAATTTGGCACAAATACCCAATACAACCACATTTGAATACTGGTGGGGTTGTGGGGTGTGTGTGTGTGATTTTCATTTGGGAGTTGTAGTTGCTGGGATTTATAGGTAACCTGCAATCAAACTGCATTCTGAACTACACCAACGATGGCTATGATAGCCATGTATAAATATGTGAGAGGAAGCCACAGGGAGGAGGGAGCAAGCTTGTTTTCTGCTTCCCTGGAGACTAGGACGCGGAACAATGGCTTCAAACTACAAGAGAGGAGATTCCATCTGAACATGAGGAAGAACTTCCTGACTGTGAGAGCTGTTCAGCAGTGGAACTCTCTGCCCCGGAGTGTGGTGGAGGCTCCTTTTTTGGAAGCTTTTAAACAGAGGCTGGATGGCCATCTGTCAGGGGTGATTTGAATGCAATATTCCTGCTTCTTGGCAGGGGGTTGGACTGGATGGCCCATGAGGTCTCTTCCAACTCTTTGATTCTATGATTCTATGATGGAATTTAACCAAACTTGGCATACAGAATTTCCATGACAACAGAAAATACCAGAAGGGTTTGATGGGCGTTGACCTTGAGTTTTGGAGTTGTAGTTCACCTACATCCAAAGAGCACTGTGGACTTGGACCAAACTTGGCACGAATATTCAGTATGCTCAAATGTGAACACTGGTGGAGTTTGGGGAAAATAGATCTTGACATTTGGAAAATGTAGTTGCTGGTATTTATAGTTCACCTACAATTAAACAGCATTCTGAACCCCACCAAGGATAGAATTGGGCCAAACTTCCCACACAGAACCCCCATGACCAACAGATAATAATGTGTTTTCTAATGGTCTTTGGTGACCCCTTTGACACTTCGTGACTCCCCCCCCCCAGGGGTCCTGACCCCCAGGTCGAGAAATGCTGGCCTAATTAGTCTGAATCAATATGCAACGGGATCTTATAGCACTTTTCACACTAACTGAGAGAAAGAGATTGGTAGTATAAGTTTTTGTAGATATATGTCAAAGTGCCTAGGAACAAAACTTTATGAGTTATAATAATAATAAATAATAATAAAACTTCTTGTAAGCCGCACCGAGTCCTCCGGGAGATGGTAGCGGGGTACAAATAAAGGATTATTATTATTATTATTATTATTATTATTATTATTATTATATCCTGTATTTCTACACTCTTAATTTAGGGGAAATATTTTTCCTTCACAGACAATAGCAAGGCAGTTAGCAGAAATCTTGCTACGAGGTATGTGTGAACAGAGTTACTGGAACCCATTAGATGACCCTCCTCATCAATCTCCACTGAATGATCCTCTCTGGAAAGGTGCGAACACTAAAAGTTATGCTCTTAGCCGAAGACCACGGATCTACTCAGGGGAAAAGTAAGCTATTTATCTAATTTATTATTCTGAATTTTAAATATATTGTTAATATATGAATTGGACTCGTGAAACACAAACCTTAAGGAGTGGAACTGTGTGTCGGAAACAACAAAAATGAAAAGTTCATACATGCAAAGATAGAAGAGGTTCACCTCCTTGATAGAAATATTTAAAATACTTTGTGGGTACAGTTTTTTCAAAACTATTATGAAATGATATATACCAGTATGTCTCTTATGTGTAGACAAATGTCTAGGTTGTTATTTATGATGGTGTAGATGCTTTATTGTATATACTTGCGTATAAGTTCACCTCATGTAAGTCAAAGGCAGGTTTTGGGACCAAAGTTATGGATTATTATAAGACCTATGGATAAGTCAAAGGTCATTCCATAAGGAAGAGAAGGGGCTAGTGCCACCTCAGAAGCCCAGTCATCTCTGGCCAGCACCATCACCATTTTCCTACCCAAGCATTTAAAAAGGGTTTCCAAACTGCTAGAACTTTTAAGGTGCAAAACCTATAGGGAGAAATAGTTTTAAGTCTTCCACTCTGCTTTAGACTGTAATATTTTCATCCTTGCATGTTTAAACACACTTGCATTTCAACTGCATTCCCTTTCATTGTGTACTCTGGACATGGTAAATGGAATGAATTTTGTTATGTCAGATTTTTTAATATAGTAAATTATGCATAGAGTGGAATATTAATGAAGTGCTTCTTTTAGGTAATAACAAAATTAACTTGAAACAACAACAACAACAACAACAACAACAACTTTATCTTAATACCCCTGCCTCCGTCTCCCTGAAGGGACTTGGGGCGGCTTACAAAGGGACAAGCCCAGAGAGCACAAAGTTAAAACATAATGCACTACAATAAAATCAAAACAAAACCAAATAAAAACATATCATAATAAAACATAACATCATAAAAAAACAGTATCATGGAGAGCAGTAAAATCCCGAGTTCAGAGGGCTCTGAGTTTGAGCTAAGGGAAAGTGCAAAATTCAGTGGGAGGGATGGGAGAGTAACGTCCTTAGGGCATTAAAATGTCAGGATTTTAGAGCAGAGGGTCATTCTAAAGTGCCGGAACTTAGGTATTATTGAGCCAATTCTTTGGAACTGCCTAGTCAGAGGCACTGCCCATGTTCTTTCTTATGCAAATAAATTTATTTTTTCAGTTTACCTTCACAGTTTTTCCTCTTCGCCCCTATGATCTTTGTCACAGGGTTTCTTAGCACCTTTGCTGTGTTGTTATACTATGATGGAGGATTCCAGCCTTGATATTTTTTACGTAATAACATCCTTTATCCCCAAACTGGTACTCAAGGCAGTTTGTCCATACTGAAATAGAAACAAAGGCACGTATAGATTAAAAATTAAATCTAATTAAATGCTATCACTAATTTAAAATATATGCATCAAGAAAGCAAGAAATAAAAAAAACATCACAGCAAAGTGCCATATGTGCTCATGCATAGGTGGACCTCACGTATAAGTCGTGGGCAAGATAAGTTGACTCAGATTTTTGGGGTTGGTTTTTTAACTAAAATTTCTAGGCTTGTACATTATTAGGGCCAAGGTGGTGCAGTGGGTTAAACTGCTAAGCTGAAGAACTTGCTGACCAGAAGGCTGGCAGTTTGAAGCCTTGGGATGGGGTGAGCTCCCATTGTTAGCCCCAGCTTGTGCCAATCTAGCAATTGAAAACATGCAAATGTGAGTAGATCGATAGGCACCGCTTCGGCAAGAATGTAATGGCGCTCCATGCAGTCATACAGTCCACATGACCTTGGAGATGTCTACAGAAAACACTAGTTCTTCGGCTTAGAAATGGAGATGAGCATCACCTCCAAGTTGGACTCGACTAGACTTAATGTCAGGGGAAACCTTTACCTTTACATATATAGGGTATTAAAACTGTATGTTATTAAAACATGTTGAATCCATCACATTCACAGTATTGAAAGGGTGAAAAATGGCTAAAGTGCAAGGTGATCCAAGTATAGGAAGTCTATATGGAAAATGCAGTTTTAAGAGTGTTGAGAGTATAATGCTATATATTCAAAAGTATAAGGTGGCAACTGTTCAATTTCTGCTGATTATTTCTAATTTTCAAAACATTAAATGTCTTTGATATGGTTGCTATTAATCTTAATTACACTATTGTTTTTACATTCTGAAGCATCTCTCTTAAACATCGTTTTCATAATTTTCTTTGCTGCTGTAAAAAGCAGAATTGTTTTTCCTATACATAGTTTGTAAAGCATGACAGACACAAAATATGACACGGTTGTTAACTATTATGTGTGAATGAATTTTGAATAACTTTATTTTTAAGGTAATAAATACTCAATTTTTAACAGCATTTTCTGTCCTCAAGAGAACACTGAAGAAGCTCTCTTGCTGCTGCTGATTAGTGAATCTATGGTGAGTCAGACAGTTCCATAAATGCAATTTGATTATATTATTGTATTTTTGCTCATTGTAGCAGCCAGACAAAATGTTGACATGCAGACTACTTTCCCCTTTCCATCAAGCAAATACTGTGTGTATTAGGGGAAGGCAGTGTTTGATATTATTGGAGGCTAATGGAAACCAGGATTTAACACTCTGTGCCGTATCAAAAGTAATTAATCTTATACTGTGGTTATCATCCAGAGATCTTGCAATAACTGATCAATGCAAACTACAAAGGTTTGGGATAAGAGATGACAAGTTTAAAAGGACTGGACGATGACGACAAAGTAACAGTAGTGACAAAACAAGCTCAAAATGTTGCCCATGTAAATTTGCAACACTCTGACCTACTTAGAGAAGTGTTAGCATAACTCCGCCAGCACCATCTGTGAGTGAACAATTTCTATTAAGCATGTTCAAACACCAATTCCTTTGTGTTGTCGAAGGCTTTCATGGCTGGAATCACAGGGTTGCTGTGAGTTTTCCGGGTTATATGGCCATGTTCGAGAAGCATTCTCTCCTGACGTTTCACCCACATCTATTGCAGGCATCCTCAGTGGTTGTGAGGACTGTTGGAAACTGGGCAAGTGGGATTTGTATATATGTAGAATGTCTAGGGTGGGAGAAAAAACTCTTGTCAGCTTGAGGCAAGTGTGAATGTTGCAGTTGACCACCTTGATTAGCGTTTAATGGCCTTGCAGCATCAAAGCCTGGCTGGTTGCTGCCTGGGGGAATCCTTTGTTGGGAGATGTAAACTGACCCTGATTATTTCTTGTCTGGAATTCCCCTATTTTCTGAGTGTAGTTCTTTATTTATTGTTCCAATTTTAGCGTTTTTAAATACTGCTATCCAGATTTTGTTCAAACTATAAAATCAGGCCAGTAAATAACGATCAAAATTCAGAAAACAGGAGTTTGGGACAGGAAATAATCAGGGCTAGCTAACACCTCCCATCAAAGGATTTCTCCAGAGAGGAAGCAGACTCCTAGTGAGACCCTTGTTCTATTAACAAGCATCAGTCACCCATTAAAAATATGAGACCACTTATGACGTGTACATGAGAGAGTGAAGGTTTAGGAAAACAAACCAGGAACCTTGGGATCTGCAGGCTTCCAGAACTTGAGAGAAAAGATAATGTTTATAGCACTCTTGGCAGCTTCATTTAATATACTTCTACTTGGTTTGCAGATTAGTAAAATGGACTTTGAATGAGCTAAAGCTTCAAGTTTTACAACATTGTGATGAAACTTGCTCATTTGGAGGAGGAGATGCAGCAGCAGATGTTGCTGATGTTGTTGCTATATTTACATTTCCTACCTTTAGACTCCATCTGCTAAAATACTGTTGCAGAGATAAATATAAGATAATACATAACGCAACAAAAATGTTCTTGATGTCTTGGGGTTATTTGGGGGTGGTAATTCGGGAGCCGAACAATAGGATCTCATAGAAAGGAGTGATTTTAACCTGCTTCACTGTCTCTTGTATCCTATGGGGTTTGGTGCAGATCAATAGGATTCCATGGAAAGGAGTGATTTTAACCTGGTTCACTCGAGAGATTGTTAACTATCTCCCGAGGTGAATTCACAGAAGGCTGGCAGAAGGTAGTGGCACTGCTTCCTCACCATTCCTTCCACCTGTCTCTTCCCATAGCAACGGTGTACGAACCCACACGTTCCCTCCGATCATCTGGAGAGGCCCTGCTCACGATCCCACCTGCATCTGTGGTAGCCCCTTGACTCTGGAACTCTCTCCCCAAGGATATCAGACAAGCCCCAACGCTGGCTGTCTTTAGGAAGAGCCTGAAGATCTGGCTGTTCCAGTGTGCCTTTCCAGAATAGGAAACTCCTGGCCTAAAGTCCCAAATGCACTTTGTTAGAGAATCAGGATTGTCTGCACATTGCACCTACCTCAACACCCTTCACAATCTACCTGTCAAGCTCAGCACTTTTAATTTTGTCCATTACATTTGGCCCGGCCTTTGATTTCAAGTGTGTCATGATGTTATTGTTTATTGTCTTATTGTCTTGCTTGATGGTTTATTATTTGCTTATGAGTTTATTGTGTATTGTATGCTGTGTTGTCGGCGGCCTTGGCCATTGTAAGCCGCATCGAGTCCTTCGGGAGATTTTGCGGGGTATAAATAAAGTTAATAAATAAATAAATAATAAATAATAATAAACGGTGACCCCTGGGAAATGGTAGGGTGACCACAAAAGAGGTCATGACCCCCAGGTTGAAAACCACTGATATATGGGATATCTTTTGTGCATCAAAAAATAGAGCTGATAGGGGAAAACTGATGCCATTTTTGGAATTAGCAGGTCAAATATAGCCAGAAACAACTAACATTTGAGGCACAAAATGTTAGTTGATATATTTATCAAACTGTCCAGTGTAATAAATATATCAACTGTAATATAATAAATGTAATAATGCAAGATATCTGGCCAACAGTTTTTTCAAGGAGGCAATACTTAAGCTCTTCATTGGGAAGCTGAGGGAAAAAGCCATTAAACTGAGAAAAGCAAACCATAGTATCAGGTTGCTCTTCCCAGGCTCTCCCTTAGAGACTCAGACCCTCTGAGAATAATTTTTAAACACTTTTATTCTATTTCATCAAGATTTCTGCAAGGACAATAAATACAGACTGGATCAGGCAGAAAGTATTTCATAGATAATTCCTACCGTGTAATCTAGTGGACAGTTAGGGTCTTTTCAAACTGAGAGCTTGAAAGTGCTCATATTAATTGCCTTGCCACTGCAGTTATAGCAGATTGCTATATTGTATTCCCATCAACAGAGTTACAAAACATAATGGCCTTACAATGTAACATTGTTTGATCATTTGTCATTTTGGACTATTAGAGAAATGAGCTGTGACGAGTTCTACATTCATATATGGAATTGTAATCCTTTTACAACATTCTCCAAATGTAGAAAAAAAATGAAACAAGAATTGGTTTCTATTTTCAGATTAAGGGCACAGTAAATGTATGTCATGCCCCAAACCAGGATGCAGCAAAAATAGTTGTTAGAGATGACTGCATCAGTAAATTGGTAACACAAAATTATTTCCCTTTCTGAACCATCATGGAGGTTAAGATCTTCTGGGGAGGCCCTCCTCTCAGTTCCGCCTGCGTCGCAAGTGGTGGCTCAGTGGTGGCTTCTAAGTGGTGGCTCCTCGGTTCTGGAACTCTCTCCCCAGTGAGAGATCAGTGCCCTCCCTCCTGGCCTTCAGAAAGAAAACAAAAACATGGTTATGGGACCAAGCTTTTGATTAGTAAAGTAATGCAGTACAAGAAATAAATATGGAATATGTGCAATTGATATTTGGAATGGCCCTGGTCTTTGAGTTTGGATCATGTGATTTTAATGTTTATATTAGGTGATTTTAATTTTTATGTCTTCATGTCTAAATGTTGTTCTATCTTATGTTTAATTGTCTTACTGATTTTAATGCAGGAATGAATCAAGGGTACAGTTGTAATGTATTTAAAAAACAGAAAGTTTAAAAGCTTGTCATTATATTAACTGTCCTTTGACCAGCAGCTGGCCACTTGGAGTGCCTCTGGTGTGGCTATAAGGAGGTCCTCCATTGTGCATGTGACAGGGCTCAGACTGCATTGTAATAGGTGGTTTGTGGGTTGCTCTTCTCCACACTCGGATGTCGTGGACTCCAGTTTGTGGCCCCATTTCTTAAAATTGACTCTGTATCTCATGGTGCCAGAGTGCAGTCTGTTCAGCACCTTCCAAGTTGTCCAGTCCTCTGTGTGCCCAGAAGACTGGGCGACTTGGAAGGTGCTGAACAGGCTGCGCTCTGGTGATATTAAGGCCCCTTTTTGGATAGTGCGCCTCAGTTCTGATAAGAGATTTGAAAACTTGCCCAAGATAAATCATATTCATGATTTATACATGTGTGCTTTCAAGGCAACATGTGTATAGTAATGTTCCCAAAAGGTTAAAAGATTACACAAAAGCATTTGTGTAATTATCTGTTTACTGCTGTGAAAATCCACCCCCTGGAGATTGGTTAGTCTGCTTTTATTCACTCATAACTGCATAGTCTAAATATCAGATCGCTACCAGACTGTGAAAATATGTTGGTATCTAAAGCACATAATGTTTTTCACTCTGAGGATAGATCAAAGTATATTATCCTCTAGTTTACATCTAAAAACTTACAGAGAAATTTGTCATCCTTGCTTAACTTGGCAACTTTTTTCACTGAATTATTGTGATAAATGCTGTTAAGTGTATTTCTATGTTTTTCAATCATTATTTAAATTAATTTCTGTTATCCAATTTTAATGATCCAGCAACTCTTAAGAAATTCTTTTTCATCATCCAAAGCTGTGCAAGTTATAATGTGCAGTCATTTCATGTTTGAGAACTCAAAGTGAGACTGACATGCACCTTTTCCCAGTCTCCTGCTGATTCTTTCATTCTTGTTTTCCTTTCTAGGCTAATCGTGATGCTGTTCTGAGCAGAATACCAGAACACAAAAGTGACCGCATCATTAGTTTGCAAAGTGCATCTGTAGTCTATGACTTGCTTACCATTGCCTTGGGAAGAAGAGGTCAATATGAAATGCTATCAGAGGTAGGCTGTGGTCACAGAAACCAAAGCATGAATTTCACCTAAGTGACTTTCCATTCCTGGACTATTAGTTGAGGTCCTGCTCTTTTTGGCTGATGAAAACAAAAGTTAACCAAAGAATAAGTTTGTGCGTGCTCTAAAAGTAAAATTAACAGGTTGTCTTTGTGTTCTTGTGAATAAATTCTGTGGTAAAATTAATATTTCAATAAATTATTTGGGTGTATATTTTGTGTTGGAGGAGATACAGATAATTTTTGAAAAGCAAAAACTTTAATAGGGTCCAACTAAGTATCTCTAAACATATTTAAGGATGGAGTTCTATGCATTCATTTGTTCTGCTATGTCAGTCTCCCATCTTCCTTAAAAAATTAACTTGCCAGTTTCCCATTTCTGTGAGTGACAGATACAACAAAGAAGAAAAGATTGCTTACTTGTAGGTGATAATCTGTGAACTCCCATTACATGTTCACCTCCTTTTCTTGGGTGTCCCAGTGGGTAAGAAACTGAGGCACAATAGAGAAATTAAATTGATATGAATAGTGAAAGGAAGTAGAACTTTTCTCCCCAAAAGATGCCATCTCGGTTCTAGAATAGCATCCATAAAGCCTAGAAGTCCTTTACCTATGAGTTTACAGATGACCATTTGAAGAACCACAGTTACAGGTAAACAACCTTTTCATAGTCTCATCCCTACATCAAAGATACTATGACAGCACAGATTGTGATTTTTTTGCATTGAAACACAAGAAATACTCTTATCCACTTTATATAATAAATAGTACACTCAAGGTGTTATTAGTGTACCCTAGTGTCAGAAAACTTTAATGGTTCTAGTTCTTCTTAGATTGTTGTATAACATTACTGGGTGAAATGCCCTAATCCTAGTTTTTTTATCAATCTAAAAAAATATATTGGACAAACTGTCATATTTCATTCAGTTGGACTTATGTCCAAACAGGCACATGAAATAGGGATGATGGGGAAATGATGTTACTGAGCATTCTGCTTTATTATTATTTTTTCTGATGTAATGGTCTTCTTTGTTTTCTTTTTGTATTATTTTGCTGGATACCCTCTTACTTTCCCTCTAGCATTTTTTATGTTTTATTTCTATATCTATATAAGAATTAATGAGAAATTATACCATATCTGTGCAGAACAGTGTGCTGTATTTTCACTACAAGCAAAGAAACACAGAAAGAGCTTCTAGCGTATGCCTCTACCAGAAACTAAGGAAGTCAATCAAGATTGTTCTCAAGTAGATTTCATAACTTTGCATTAAAATATTCATAGTTCTTGCCGGTGGGTCTCTGTTTGTTAGAGAAGCTGGCATCCTTTTATATAGCAATAGAGATGGCCTAGTTCCTTTTTCTACTTTCATCTTATACGTATATTCTCTTCCTTTAAAAGGTCATATTTGTAACTTCAAAACTTTCAGATATACCTCCGTTGACATTTCCTTTACATTCTTCATTTTGTAGTTCCACATAATATTGCCGTGTGCTTTCTTCTCTTGATTCTTGTGCTATTAATTTAGTTGTCTTGAGCAGAAGAGCTTCAACAAATAAAGAAGCTTGGGAGCCATGTACTTTATGCCCTAAAGTGTTTGAGTTTTCTTTTCTTTTTTGATTGCATCCAGTTGACAGAGACTGAGTGAGAGAAAGAATAATGAACTTCCACCATTAGCCTGAACAGTATGCAGTATGCTGAAGAATGTTCAGAATAGAAGATAAATGAGGATTTCCATAAAGCAAAGCTAAATTTCTTATACTGTTGCAGAATCATCCAAATGAGAGACGGAGGCATGATTATGACATCTTTAGAAATCTTTTTGTTTGGACTGCATTGTTAAATTCTATGGAATAGTTGGTTTTTTGTTTTTTTTTAAAGAGCTGTTCGATAACATTATGAACCTAGTTATGTTAGGATGCCTCTGCATAAGAGTGCATTACTTAGGCGATCTCTAGTTCGAGTATGAGGGCCTTCCAAGTGTAGTGTCTTGGCAGTGGGTACATAGCTGATTTTTCTTGATCCACATGTACTCCCGCAGTGAAGACATCGGTTTCCAGGTGGAAGGCTGTCTCGGTAAGGGTTGGCATGGTGTGCCTTCCTCTTGGTACATTTCTTCCTTTCACCCTCTATTCGTGCCTCTTCGAATTCCACAGCACTTCTGGTCACAGCTGCCCTTCAGCTAGAGCACTCAAGGGCCAGGGCTTCCCAGTTCTTGGTGTCTGTGCCACAGTTTTAAAAATTAGCTTTAAGCCCATCTTTAAATCTCTTTTCCTGTCTACCAACTTTCTGTTTTCCATTTTTGAGTTGGGAGTATAGTAACTGCATCGGGAGACAGTGATCGGGCATTCAGACAACGTGGCCACTCCAGCGGAGTTGATGGCATAGGAACATTGCTTCAATGCTGGTGGTCTTTGCTTCTTTCAGCACACTGACCTCATGTCTTCCTAAGAGATTTGCAGGATTTTTCAGAGGCAACACTGATGGAATTGTTTCAGGAGTTGAGTGTGACGTCTGTAGACAATCCACGTTTTGGAAGTGTATAACAGGGTTGGGAGGACAATCTATATAAATTAAAATGTAATGTTCGTTTGTTGGATTAACATAACTCAAAAACCACTGGGCGAATTGACACCAAATTTGGACACAAGACACCTATCAGGCCAACAAGTGACCATCACTCATAAAAACACTGAAAAACACAGCAGAAGAGACTTAAAAGGCCAAAAGAAACCCTTTACAATGCATAAACAAAACCACATATATACACACACAAAACACATATACACAGACTGGGTCACAGCAACACATGGCAGGGGACGGCTATGAGCTTTATAAACAAGCACCTTGGTATCCCTACGGATGTCAATGTTGACTTTTGTGGAGAGGTGGCTGCCAATTTTCTCACACCAGAAGTAACTTGCAGTTTCTCAAGTTGCTTCTGACATGAAAAAAATCCTTTGTCTGGAATTCAAAAATATAAAATACTCTAATATCAATAATTGTCCACGTGAGTAACTGACATCCCCATAACTTGGCTAAGCCCAAGAGGTTTTTTACAGTTCAAGAACTCCTTACAGTTCAAGATCTTTAAGCTCCATTTAAAGAGAGGGGAGAACCCTTAAAAACAAAATACATTTGTACAAACATCCCTTATCTGAATGCTTGGGACTAGACATGTTATAAATTTCAGGGTTTTTTTTTTTTCCAAATTTGAGAATATTTGTTTATTTATTTGCGGTATTTGTATACCGCCCTTCTCAACTCTGATGGGGACTCAGGGTGGTTGACAAGTGTTGGCAACAATCCAATGCCATTGATAAAATACAATATAAAACATCAAAATTGACCCTCCCCTGATGAAACATTAAACATTATTAAATACAGCACGTAAAATCTGGACGGTTCCGGTCCAGTGTATCTGTCCGAACGTATCTCCCTCTATGTCCCACCCCGGAGCTTGAGATCATCTGGGGAGGCCCTGCTCTCGACCCCACCACTGTCACAAGTGAGGCTGGTGGGGACTAGAAGCAGGGCTTTCTTAGTGGCGGCCCCTCACCTGTGGAACTCACTCCCAGGGGAAATCAGGGCATCATCATCCCTCCTCTCCTTCAGGAGGAGGGTGAAGACGTGGTTATGGGTCCAGGCCTTTGGGCAACCTGACAATTAAATAAGACAATCAGACGAGTAAGACCAACAGGACTGACGAAGTGGAATTGAAAATTAAAACTATGAGATAGCGAACGCTGACCGTGTAGGAGGAGGAATTGGGTTTGTATTGGTTTTATTGATTTTATTGGTATAAAGCATGAATTGTTGTTAACTGTGAATTTGATGTAATTTTGTGTTTTGATTGTTCTGTGATGCGGGCATCAAATTGTGCCTTTGCTTTTGTAAGCTGCCCTGAGTCCCCCTCGGGGTGAGAAGGGCCGGGTAAAAGAAACTGAAATAAATAAATAATAAAATCACATATTTTATGTTCCTAAAGTAACAAAGTGATTTTCAGTGTGTAGCAGGGGCTAATATTACATTTTCTCCCATTTCCTGGGGTTTTCTGTGTATCCACTTTTGTACTTTTCTCACTTTTCTGCTACTAGGAATGATTACCACACACTATGGGTGCAGAGAGAGTACACTCTGCTGTTCTTGGAAGAAAATGGGGATAATTAGACAGAGAACGCACCTGCATGGAGTGCTGCATAAAAAGGAGAGATATTATCTACAATAGGGCACAAAGAGAGAGAGAAAGAAGAGGAGATAAAAAGTGTCTTTAAAAGAAAGTACTTCATTAAATTGTAAAAAAAATATGCTTTTCTGGATTAACATTACGATGCTGCCTTCAATTTGTCTTTGTTTTATGGAAATACAAAAACAGCTTTCACTTACTTGCATTATTCACTCTGACTTAAGAGTACTGAAGCGTGTTGGATTTTTCCTCATTTATAAAGCAATCTTTATAATGTATTGTCGAAGGCTTTCATGGCCGGAATCACTGGGTTGTTGTAAGTTTTTTCGGGCTATATGGCCATGGTCTAGAGGCATTCTCTCCTGACGTTTCGCCTGCATCTATGGCAAGCATCCTCAGAGGTAGTGAGCAAACAGAGGAATTGATCAGCAACTGAATATACTAGAGAGATTTGGGGAGAATTCAGTGATTTATAGGAGTTGTAGGTACTGGGATGTATAATTCAGCTTCAATTTAAGGGCACTCTGAACTCCATCAATGATGGACATGGAACCAACTTGGAACAGAGAACCCCCATGACTAACAAAACAAACTGGAGGCCTTTGGAAGGATTTATAGGAGTTGTAGTTTACCTAAAATCCAGAGTTCACTATGAACCCAAACAAAGATGGATCTGGACCAAACTTGGCATGCATTCTCGGTATGCCCAAACTTGAATACTGGTGGGTTTTGAGGGGAAGAATATTGAAGGAAAGGTCAACAGCAAGAAAACATGGGAGTGGCTTAGAAGGAGACCCTAAAAAAGGAAACTGAAGCCCTGATTTTTGCTGCACAAGAACAAGCCTTAAGAACAAATGCAATAAAAACAAGAATTGAAAAGTCCTACAATGACCCAAAGAGCCGTCAGTGCAAAGAGAGTGATGAGACATTGGAGCGCCTCATTTGCAGTTGCAAGAAAATAACCCAGATGGACTATATTAAACGTCACAACAGGCTAACAGCAATGGAGCGCTGGAACCTTTGCAAGAAGTATGGCCTACCCTGCAGTAAAACCTGGTATGAGCACAAGCTGGCAAGGACCATGGAAAATGAAGAAGCAAAAACACTCTGTGATTTTAGAATCCAAACAGATAAACATCTGCCACATAACATGCCAGATATAATGGTTGTGGAAAGGAAACATGTTTTTATTACAGACATTGCGGTACCAGGAGACAGTAGATTAGAGGACAAAGAGCTGGAAAAGATCACAAAATACAAGGACTTACAAATTGAAATTGGACGACTATGGCAAAAGAAAACAACAGTGGTACTAGTAGTGGTTGGTGCTCTTTGAGGCATTCCAAGAAACCGTGAAAAGCACCAGAAAAGCCTTAATTTGGACAGAACATCAATCCACATGCTGCAGAAGGCAGTACTTCTTGAAACTGCGCAAATTCTGTGAATTGCTGCCAAATTTGGCCACAAGACACCTACTAACCCAAGGAGTGACCATCACTCAAAAAATTGATTTTGTCATTTGGGAGTTGTAGTTGCTGGGATTTATAGTTAATCTACAATCAAAGAGCACTCTGAACTCCACCAACGATGGAATTGAACCAAACTTGGCACATAGGACTCCCATGATCAACAGAAAACAAGACTAGGGATTGGTGGGCATTAACCTTGAGTTTGGGAGTTGTAGTTCATCTACATCCAGAGACCACTGTGAACTCAAACAATGATGGATCTGGACCAAACATGGCATGAATATTCCATATGCACAAATATGAACTCAGATGGAGTTTGGGGGAAATAGGCCTTGATATTAAGGAATTGTAGTTACTGGGATTTATAGTTCACCTACAATCAAAGAGCATTCTGAACCCCACCAACAACAGAATCAGGGCAAACTTCCCACACAGAACCCCCATGACCAACAGAAAATACTTAGGGCCATCCAGTCCAACTCCCTTCACCAGGGCAAGAAAATGTAATCAAAGCCCTCCTGACAAAGAACCATCCAGCCATAGAGATAGATAGATATATATGATTCATACACACACACATATAGTATCATAGATTTGAAAGAGATCCCTAAACAAGGACAATTCTATGTTGCAGGTTTCAGAGTAGGCAAACCAGACAATCTCCACATCAATACTGACAAAGAAACAGCAAGAAATGCTGTTTATCCACAAGCATAAAGAAATTACATATATTAGAAACCAACACTTTCTCGTTACTTTATTTTCTAGATCACCACACTGGGCCACAGCAACGCATGGCAGGGCACAGCTAGTGTACAAATAAATCTATAATAACAACAATATGAGGATTTAAAGATCATATTGCACACTGTCACAAGCCAGTAAAGTTGGTCCCAGTAGTGATCTGCAGACTGGGTGCAGTGCCTAAAGACCTTGGCTTGCACTTTAAAACAATAGGTTCTGACAAAATTACCATCTGTCAGCTGCAAAAGGCCACCCTACTTGGATCTGCGCACATTATTCACCGATACAGCACATAGTCTTAAACACTTGGGAAGTGTCCAATGTGTGAACAAATACAAAAGCCACCATACTGATCTTGTTTGCTATGTACTAATCTTGTTGTATATCAAATAATAATAATAATAATAATAATAATAATAATAATATTTCTTACCCACCTTTTCCCATGGCTCGAGGCGGGCCGCAACACAGTCAAAAACACACAAATACTATAAAAATTCTTCAAACACACATATTAAAATGCAGTTCCGTAAAAGCTACATATCAAAGCATTTCTATAAAATACTCATTAATCACACAGGCCCGGGGGGGGGGGGGGGGGGGGGGTCGAATAACTATGATGGAATAATAATGAGGGAACAATGCTCACTAGTGGTTTAAATAATTGACAGTTATTTTTGTTTGCTTGTTCTTGTTTTAGTGTTTAGAAAGAGCTATGAAGTTTGCCTTTGAAGAATTCCATCTTTGGTATCAGTTTGCACTGTCCTTAATGGCTGCAGGAAAAGTAGGTCTTTTGACACATTTTTCTTTATTGAAGTTTTGTTAGTTGGCTTTAATATGGTATGTATCAAGGGTTCTAGTTGCACATCTGTAACTGGTTGCAAGATTGAATTGTAGCTTGATTGATCATCAAACAATTAACACAATGTTGTTTTGCAAAGCTTAACAAAATTGCAAGCAGGCAGATTCCTATGTTGTGGTTAATTATGCTACAGAAAGCAGTTTAATTGTCCTTATCATTTCATAGGAAGTCCAACTTAAAATCGTACACTGAATCTACCCTGGCATATAATGCAGTTTGGAACTGTTTTGAACTGCATTATATGCAATTGCACAGACCATATAATGCAAATCAGAACAGCATTATATGCCAGTGTAGATCCCTACTTGAACTGTGATTATATTTGAAATGTGCACTGTATTTAGTTGTTTATATCTTGGAAGGAATTAAGAGGCAAAGAAAAAATCTTTACTATTTTCTGAAATTGTGATTTCATAGTCTGCTCGAGCTGTGAAAGTCTTGAAAGAGTGCATTCGATTGAAGCCAGATGATCCTACAATCCCACTTCTTGCTGCCAAACTATGTATGGGATCCCTTCATTGGGTAAGTCTGTGCGTCAGAAAAAGCAACAACTTGCACAGATGCATGTATTTATATTATTAATGCTATTTTGTTGTTTTTGCACATTTGGCATTATTTCTATTGAATATATCTAGCTTGGCAAACATGGCTGGCAGTTCAAAATGTACGACTTCCAAGAATGTATAAGCTTGTTAGAGAAGAGCGTCACTCATGATCTTGCAATTGCACGTGACTGTGGAGAATGCTCAGAGAATGGTACCGTGTATACTCAAATATAAGCTCACCTGAATATAAGACAACGGACCTAATTTTACCACAAAAAAACTGGGAAACCGAATTGACTCAAGTATAAGCTGAGGGTGGGAAATGCAGCAGCTACTGGCAAAATTTCAAAATAAAAATAGATACCAATAAAATTACATTAATTGAGGCATTAGTAGATTAAATATATTTGAATATTTACATAAAGCTGTAATTTAAGATAAGGCTGTCCAACTCTGATTAAACCATTATTCTATCTTTCTTTCACGTAAATGTGCTCACGTATCCTTCTAATAATAATAAAGAGAGCAAAATAATAAATGTAATAAAAATAATAAGAGTAAAATAATGGAAGTGTAATAACAGTAATAAGAGAGTAAAATAATAAATGTAATAATAATTAATAAAAATAATAGAGTAAATTAATAACTGTAATAAATAATAATAGAGTAAAATAATGTAAATATAATATAATATATAATATATAATAATAATAATAATAATAATAAATAGAGTAAAATAATAAATGTAATAAGAATATGAATAATATTAGAGTAAAATAATAAATAACTTTGACTCGAGTACAAGCCGAGGGGGCTTTTCCATCCTAAATAAGAGCTGAAAAGCTCGGCTTATACTTGGGTATATACGGTATATTGTTGGGTGTTTGAAAGTGGCATGCTTTATTGAGTACGCTCAACTTCTGGATATGTTCGTTCTCATTAGTCCTAAGCATTGAAAACTTAGGAGCATTTTTGTTCAAATATGTATATAATTAATTTATCACAATTTTAAAAAATCAAAATGATTTTAATGATCAGCAAGCATGCTCCACCCTAGCTACGGCCTTATCAAGACTTAGTATAAGGAACAGACATTACGTGATAAATTCAATGTAGATGTCAAAGCTCATTATAGTCTTATCTTCAGTCAGAAGCAGAATTCTATTTTCAGAGATAGTGAAACTTACCTTGAAATACATTTTGCATATTATGAGATATGTAACATTACATTCCTAAAAAATTACTTATAGAGACATAGAATCGTATGATTTGTTGTGTGTGTTTTCCTTGAATTAAAAAAAGTTTTTAGAAAGAATTCTAGTTTCTATGCATGTATATGACAGCATCCTTTTATTTCCTGGATTAATTTTATATTTTGGAAATTGATAGCATATTATTATTAATAGGATTAATTTTTGATTGCTAGTGGGCATTTATCAAATTAAAACAATTCAATTAGACATGCAGTAGAGTCTTGCTTATCCAACCTTCACTCATCCAATGCTTTGTATTATCCAATGCGGTCTGCCTCCCACCTGTAATACTGTTCAGGGTGGAAGAAAGAAACAGCCTTTGTCTGTTTTGGTGCTAAATTTGTAAATACAGTAATTACTACATAACGTTACTGTGTACTGAACTGCTTTTTCAGTCAGTTTGTCGTAAAACATGATGTTTTGGTGCTTAATTTGTAAAATCATAACATAATTTGACATTTAATAGGATTTTCCTTAATCCCTTCTTATTAGCCAACATTTTCACTTATCCAACATTCTGCTGGCACTTTTATGTTGGATAAGCGAGACTCTACTGTATTTTGAACCAGGTATGATTCAGGTTGGAATTTGACCATCACTAGTTTCATACAAAGCTTTTTTTTTTAGCTAGAAGAAGCAGAAAGGTTTGCCAAAATAGTGGTTGATGCGGGGGACAAGACTTCAGAGTTCAAAGCCAAAGGTTTTTTAGCCCTGGGACTGACGTACAGCCTACAAGCTACAGATGGTAAGTAAATCAGATTTGTCCATAAAGGTAAAGTGGCAGTAACATAGAGCACCTCTTTTATTATCAAATGATAATGATAAAAATAATGTGTTTTGTGCAAATGTTTTTACGGTATTTCATATTAGACGTGTGGTAAAACAGTTTTTTATTCAAATATCTCTAATTAAATCTCATTTTTCAGCTTCTTTGCGAGGTATACAAGAAGTCCTGCAGCGAAAGGCTCTCATTGCATTTCAAAGGTGAGTGGGTGTTCATCTTTTCATTCTGTTGTAGATAATGAAAAACCTTATGTGCATTTTTTTAAAAAACTTTCTAAACCATTATGTAATACGGATTTTACCTCTGTGAGTCTCCTTACATGAGTACAGAACATATTGCATTAACATTTGCTTCATCAAGTACAACTGACAAATCCAGTCTGATTCGAAAGGATTTACTCTTATTTCATTATTAAAGATATTTTTGTTATCAGCTAGTAGAGAATAACATTTACACAGCATCTGTTTAAAGAGTAATGCTTCAGCTGAATTCCTTCTAAAAGAACGCACAGCTTTGAATAACATCCCAAAAACTTCTTAAAGAATATTTGGTATTGGTCTCATTATAGGAAAATGAATGCAATCATTTTATTAGACCTGGGATGTACAGATTTTAAAGTATGTATTCTGAATAGTCATGGGAAAATATCAAGACTTCACCAATATGTGCATGAACCTATTTATTTATTGTGTCAGAAGTGAATTGAGAATACAGTTATAACATATAGATAAACCACAAACAAAGTAAAAAACTTGAAATTATATTAAATTTCCTTTGGCCAGAAGCTGGCCACTTTGAGTGCATCTGGTGTTGCTGTAAGAAGGTCCTCCATTGCGCATGTGGCGGGGCTCAGACTGTGTTGTAATAGGTGGTCCGTGGTTTGCTTTTCTCCACACTCGCATGTCGTGAACTCCACTTTGTGGCCCCATTTCTTAAATTTAGCTCTGCATCTCATGGTGCCAGAGCGCAGTCTGTTCAGCGCCTTCCAAGTCGCTCAGTCTTCTGTGTGTCCAGGGGGTTGTTTCTCATCTGTTATCAGCCACTGATTGAGGTTCCAGATTTTAACCTGCCACCTTTGGACTCTCTCTTGCTGAGGTGTTCCTGCGAATATGTCTGTATGTATTAGGAAGCTATTTCTTGATTTAAGGTGTCTGATATCTGACCAGAGGTTGGGAAAGAGATGTCTATGCCACGGTCCTTTCATTACAGGCTGCTACTTCTTGATGGATGTTAGGTGGTGCAATACCAGCTAAACAATATAATTTATCCAGTAGTGTAGGGCGTAGACATCCTGTGATAATGTGGCATGTCCACTGTTTTAATGTAGTGAGATGTATTTTACACTGGGCATGCATATTCAGCAGAAGAGTAGCAAAGCACAAGGGCAGGTGTCTTCACTGTGTCTGGTTGTGATCCCCAGGTTATGCCAGCCAGTTGCATTTTCACAGATGCAAAGCCACAAATAAAGTAGTATCACAATTAGAACTACATATTTAGAATAATAATAATAATAATAATAATAATAATAATAATAATAATTGTTATTATTATTTATTACCCATCTCTCTTTGTAGCTTGAGGCGGGGTACAATAGGATAACAAGAGAGAGAGATAGATAAAAGACAACACTGTTACAGTACATGTGCCAAAATACACACAACACCACATCAATAAAATGTAGGTTAAAATTCACAAGTTGAAATTGACTGGGTAGGCCTGCTAGAAGAGAAAGGTCGTCAGTTGCATCTTGAATTCTGACAGCTGATTTAGCTGTTGAAGCTCTTCTGGTAGGTCATTCCACAGATTTGGGGCAGCCAAGGAGAAGGTCCTATGGGTGATGCTTACCAAAGTTTCTACAAACAGGGAATTATATACAGTTATCTACCAGTGTCTCAATGATTGATGAAAAGCTATTATTTTCCATCATTGTTCATTTATATCCTTTAAAGGAGAGAGTCTTCACACTTTTTACCTGATTAATATAAAGTTGGAGCCCCCGGTGGTGCAGTGGGTTAAACCACTGAGCTGCTGAACTTACTAACTGAAAGGTCGCAGGTTTGAATCCTGGGAGCGGCGTGAGCTCCCAGTGTTAGCCCCAGCTTCTACCAACCTATCAGTTCGAAAACATGCGAATGTGAGTAGATCAATAGGTTCAGCTTCTGCAGGAAGGAAACCGTGCTCCATGTAGTCATGCCTGCCACATGACCTTGGAGGTATCTGTGGACAATGCCGGCTCTTCGGCTTAGAAATGGAGATGAGCACCAACGCCCAGTCGGACACGACTGAACTTAATGTCAGGGGGATACTTTATCTTTACTAATATAAAGTTAAAAAAACCAGAATGAATTAGCAAAATAATTCACACAAATAAGAGCAAGTCGCATCACTAAGATTATTGGGACCACTATTTTGTGAGTCAAATTCTGTCTGCCAGGCAGAGCTTGATGATATTTCAAACTTATAAGTCAGTACAAGACTCCTAGCTAGATATCATTTCTGCCTAGTGGTTGGAAGAAGGTGAGCTAGTTCTGTTTGCTTTGTTCTCTCTTTGTCATAGCTCATATGTGAATCTAACTAGGAGTCTTGTAGCAATTTGGTGTAATTTCTCTCTCTCCTTCATACAAATATTTTCTTTCCTTGGTCTCCCAAGATTCTTTCTCTGAAAAAAAAAAGTATGACCTCACTTATAACCCTCAAGGGACTACACTTGAAGATGAAGTTTAGAAAGGATGGGGAAGTATGAGTTTTCCACACTTGTCCATGAGACAGGTGACTTTGATCCAGTCATTCAGGTATCACTGGGCTTTGTGATGATTTAAGGGCAAAAAGGACTCTATCCCTCGCTCTGGTGAAGGATACTCATATGTGATAACTAGCTTTCATATGGTGATTTATCAAATTTAAAAATGTTGTGATCATTCATTGTGTCACAACAGTTGCAAATTAGAATCCTAAGGCTACAAAGGATTGAAAGCTGTTTTGGGCCAAGAATATAACCAGCAATCATTAATAATTAGCACTGCTATCCTTCTCTTGTTACCTATTGCCCTAAAACAAATGTACTTATATGTTGAAATGGCTGTATGTATGTAATTCAATGGGAACAATCATCATATTTGCTGCATGCCAAGGTGAACTGTACAGAGATAATAGAATGCTAGGAGAAATTTCTTTCTCATCCTAGTCATGATCCTCCATAAGTGGAAAATGTGGATTTCTCTATATAGTATATGATTATTCCATTTAATTAAAGATGACATAATCCCTGTTATCCCTTGTAGAGTGGCATGCATTTCTGCAAACAGTATTAAATCTGGATTATTTCTAGATTGTTTACTGAGATCTGAAATTGATGATGATGTATAGATCTTTGGATAGATGCCAGATGGTAACGACTTTGATTTATTCCTGGCTTTAGTGGGATTTTTGAAGCAATCACCTATAAGAGAAAAGCTATTAAGTCCCTGGGCAGTTTTTCAGATTTTTAATTCATTTTTGAAAAAGTGAAGAAATATTAAAATATGGAAGATCACAAGCCTACTCTATAGTGAGCATTACATACGTACTCACATGGACATACACAGATATACACAAAAATACTCATATACACACATAAACTTGAAGTATCTGATCGTATGTGACGTCAACAGAGAATTTCAAAGTGAAAGGGAACTGTAACTAAATCCATGGTATATGTGAATGTGTGTATGTGTATATGCCTTATACATTATCATCTTAGGCCAAGAAGTGAACTCAAGGTTAGCATTAAGGTTCATGGGAATGAAGACAAATTTCTACAGATAATAAGGAATAGAGCAGTGGTTCTCAACCTGTGGGTCCCCAGGTGTTTTGGCCTACAACTCCCAGAAATCCCAGCCAGCTTACCAGCTGTTAAGATTTATGGGAGTTGTAGACCAAAACTTTTTTTGTCTGTCTGCTACAATAAAACTTACAAATGCAGAGGAATATATGGACATCCACCTCAGAGTCTGAGATCATCTGGGGATGTCCTGCTCTTGTTCCCGCCCTCTTCACAAACACAACTGGTGGGGACGACAGACAGGGCCTTCTCGTTGGTGGCCCCCCGTCTGTGGAACACACTCCACAGGGAAATCAGATCGGCTTTCCTTCAGGAAAAAGCTCAAAACATGGTTTTGGGACCAGGCATTTGGGCAGCAGGCTTAACAGTAGTTGCAATGCACAGGCTTTGGGTTAGGTCTCTCAACTGAACTTGGATGCAGTCATATTGTTATTGCTATTAATAATGTTTTAAATGTTTTAATGACTACTTTATAACTTAATGTTTTTATTAATGTTGAATCTGTGTTATATTGTTATGGTGTATGTGTTGGCATCAAATTGCTGCTGATTTTAAGCCGCCCTGAGTCCCCCCTCAGGGGTTGAGAATGATGGAGTACAAATATTTGAAATAAATAATAAATAAATAAATTTAAGTAATACTAATGAACTAAATATTTTTTCCAGGGCACACACTTTGTCTCCAACTGATCACCTGGCCGCATTTTATCTAGCATTGCAGTTTGCTATATCCCGGCAGGTTAGTTTAAAATGATTTTAAAAGCTGAATTGATTACAGCAGTAACAAAAATCGTTAATTGAATAGCTGTTGTTTCCTTCTGTATTCATTTTTGAGTAAAATCTAATGCTAGCGGAGGTCTCTGTGAGTGAGCAAAATTCCCCCACACATTATATTTCTTATTCTTTCTATTCATATCTATATAAATAAAAATGTAATGTTCGTTTGCATGCTACTCAGAACTTCAGTTTGTTATACAGTGTATCACAAATATCTGTTATGTTTAGTTAAAAGAAAATATTTTTAAAGTTCCAGAAACTCAGGGGCTGAAACTTCCAAATTCGTTCCTTGCATTTCATGTATTTAGAATATTCCAAGCGTCTTTGTATTTCTAAAGAAAATTCATTTTAGAAAGCTTCTTTGAAAAAGATGGCAAAAATAGTTCAGCTAATGGGTTGCTGTTTTCCGGGCTGTATGGCCATGTTCCAGAAGCATTCTCTCCTGACATTTCACACATCTATTGCAGGCAACCTCAGAGGTTGTGAGGTCTGTTGGAAACTAGGCAAGTGAGGTTTATATATCTGGAATGTCCAGGGTGGGAGTAAGAACTCTTGTCACTTGAGGCAAGTGTGAATGTTGCAATTGGCCACCTTGATTAGCATTTAATGGCCTCTGATATGGTGGTTGTTAGAGTGGCCCAGCATTTCTGTGTTCTCAAATAATATGCTGTGTCCACAGAACACTCTAACAACTACCATGTCAGACTACACAGAGGAGCTACTGAAATCCACAAGCATGTGTTCAATTTCAACAGAAAGGAAGAAACTATGAAAATGAACAAAACCTGGCTACCAGTACTTTAAAAAACTCTAAAATCAGGACAGTAAATAAAGAGCAACACCCAAAAAGCATGGGAATTCCAGACAATAATCAGTCAAGGCCAGCTAACACCTCCGAACAAAGGATTCCCTGAGGCAGCAACCAGCCAGGCTTTGTAGCTGCAAGGCCATTGAATGCAAATCAAGTTGGCCAGTTGCAACATTCACACTTGCTTCAAGCAAACACGAGTTCTTTCTTCCACCCTGGACATTCTACAGATATATAAACCTCACTTGCCTAATTTCCAACAGGCCTCTCAACCTCAGAGGATGCCTGCCATAGATGTGGGCGAAACGTTAGGAGAGAATGCTTCTGGAACATGGCCATAGAGCCCAGAAAACTCACAGCAACCCAGTCATTCTGGCCATGAAAGCCTTTGACAACACAATTCAGCTAATCTTCATGGTTAATGAGCAAAAAACCTATTGACACCTGACTCTGTTTGGCAATAGGCATCTATGAAAACATGTTTTCCTCAGTTGTTTTAATATAAAATATATACTTCTTTTTTTTTTCATAATCTGCACATATAATATATTTTTGTGTTGTTGTAATAACTCCTTTCAGTTTTCCTTTCAAATAGATACCAGAAGCGTTGGGTTATGTTCGCCAGGCTCTTCAGCTCCAGGGAGACGATGCTAATTCTTTGCATCTCCTTGCCCTCTTGCTGTCAGCTCAAAAACACTACCATGATGCTCTGAATATCATTGACATGGCCTTGAGTGAATACCCAGAAAACTTTATGTAAGTAGTTCTTGCAGTTTCCATACACCTGCATGTTGAGCATAGGGATATGCTTGCTTTTTCACTCCTGTGGAGAGATAGAATAATTTAATGTTTTCTCTCTCCTCTGTGGGGACATCTTCTAAAGGAGTGCCACTTTCCAAGATGTTCTTGTTGAAAGGAGGCAGTTTCCTGCAATGTAATTTTTTTTGCCTATTGATGCATTTGAAGCGTCATTGGTTGATTGACAATTAATCAACAGTGATAGCCAGTTAGTTTGTTATTTTATTGCACTTGCCCATAGGCTGCAGAATTCATCTAGGCTTGATTTCTTTAGGGAAGAGTCACTGGAACCTTAGGGCATTTGTTAGCAGACAAGCTCTGACTTCAGATCCTCTTGAGAGAGAGAAAACTAAATGTAGCTATCTCTGACTGTCTCTACGTCTCTGGCTCAAACTTGACAGCTGCAGTCTCTATTTTCTTCCCCAAAACAGCCACTTAAGTTACATTTTCCTTAGCTGGTCTGTTGGAAAGAAAGTTCAAGTGTGCCTCATTGAGAAGACAAAAAATAAGTCTTAACTATGTATGTATAAGTGCCTGCTTGATGACTTCATAGGGTTTTTTAGCAAGGGATGCTCAGAGGTGGTTTTGACAGTTTCTTCTACTTGAAATATAGACCACAGCACTTGGTATTTGTTGGTGATCTCCCATCCAAGTATTAAACATGACAGACCTAGCTTCCAATATCTGGTGCCTCTTAGGGTTTTTAAAAATAATAATAATAACTCAGGAAAAACTCAGTCGTTATCAGGACCTCAAAATCGAACTGCAAAGGCTCTAGCATAAACCAGTACAGGTGGTCCCAGTGGTCATTGACACACTGGGTGCCATGCCAAAAGATCTCAGCCAGCATTTGGAAACAATAAACATTAACAAAATCATGGTCTGTCAACTGCAAAAAGCCACCTTACTTGGATCTGCACACATTACTCGAAAATACATCACACAACCCTAGATGCTTGGGAAGTGTTTGACTTGTGATTTTGTGATACGAAATTTTGTGATACGAAATCCAGCATATAGATCTCGATTGCTGTGACATACTGTGTTTTTGTGTCAGTGAAATAATAATAATCTCTCCCTCTCTTTTTCAGATTACTGTTTTCTAAAGTCAAGTTGGAATCACTCTGCAGGGGTCCAGATGAGGCACTCCTTACTTGCAAACACATGTTGCAGATCTGGAAATCCTGTTACAATCTCACTAACCCCAGGTAAGACCTTAAAGAGCCATTAGCATTCATTGTAAATCATCTTGTTTCTAAACAGTTCTAAAACATTAAAGGGACTAAGTAAAATGGAGCCCATCACACGCCACAAGTAGACTTGCCCCTGTCATCTGTGATGCTTTGTTAGGAAACTGTTTTGAAAGTGTAAAGAAACGAGGAGACAGGGCGAAATTGCCTTCTGAGCTCAGGAATTGCTTGGAAATATGAGAAAATGATGAAAAAAAGTGGGATGGGATCTGTCAGATTCGCCCACATTATATATGGGGGAATGGGCATCTCTGTGGGCAGTGTCCTACAAAGCAGTGATGCCCAGATAATCTCCCAAAAGCCCAACTGCCTGAACCTTGCACAGTATTTTTTAACTGTGTGTGTGTATGTATGTGTCAGGTGCGATTTGAGAAACTTCTGATGTGAGAGAAGTCACTTCTGATGTGAGAGAATTGGCTGTCTGCAAGGGCATTGCCCAGGGGACGCCCAGATTTTTTACCATCCTTGTGGGAGGTTTCTCTCATATCATTGCGTGGGAAGCTGGAGCTGACAGATGGGAGCTCACCCCACTCTCCAGATTCAAACCATCAACTTTTTGGTCAGCAGTCCTGCCGACACAAAGGTTTAGCCATTGCCCATTAATAGGAAGAGCAGAAGGGTCCATAAGGAGAAATGGGTTTTCCTTAAGAACGATGTCTCCGTTCTCCTCAAGAGTTGGGGTATTGGGAGGGAGAACAGAAGAGCACATGGAGAGAAATAGGGTCTCCCTTCCTACACTTGCTCATATGGCAAATCTGAAAATTGATAATTTTGGGGAAAAGGCAAGAAAAAACACCAGGTGATGGGTACTGGTAAACTATATGATTTGATTTTTAACACAGCAGGACTAAACGCCACAGTAATATGGTGCTTCCTACCCCCACCTCCTGTTTTATGGGATAAGGTCCATAATATTGTTACAATTTCATAACCATTTCAAATAAATAAAATTTACTTTTATTTATTTACTGTATTTGTATACCACCTTTCTCAGCCAGTTGGCGACTTTTCTGTCATGGTTATAATAAATGTGAACGGGACTGGCTTTATTTTTATATTTTCCTTTGAAAAATACCTGAACTGCTTAACTTGCATTATGCTTAACCATAGGAAACAACCAAAGGGCCATTTGTAATTAATACCAAGAGGAAATGGGGGTACAGTTTTCATAGGAAATGAATCTGTATTAGAATAAAGTATTTTTGGTTTGTAGAAGGAATTAATGAAATCAAACCTGCATCCCCCTCCTCCAACAGTCAAACATAATATTGCTTAGAGTTCAGTACAAATAGCGGAGATTCTGATCAGTTTTTCATGAAATTACAGGGGGTGTTTCATCAGATTTGGTTTGGCAAAAAATAGTATTTTAATAGTGGAAAAGCTCATGTGGTTGCTGCATGTTTTAGTCAATAACTTCTTTAGTTCCTAAAGGCTTAATATTAAGTAAATGGAAAGGATTTTGTGTGTGTGTGTCAGGAGTGGCTTGAGAACCTGCAAGTCGCTTCTGGTATGAGAGAATTGGCCATCTGCAGGGACGTTGCTCAGGGTATATCCAGATGTTTTTGATGTTTTACCATCCATGTCCCCGCATGAGGAGCTGGAGCTAACAGAGGGAGCTCATCCATGCTCTCGATGGATTCGATCCTCTGACCTGTTGGTATTCAGTCCTGCTGGCACAAGGGAGCTGCTAATGGAAAGGATACAGCATCATAACAAACAATTTCATAATGGCTATCCATCCCATATGATGCCATCAGAACAAGAAGTTCTCACATGCAGTGTATCCCATTTCTCTTTTCAAGTTCTCTAAGAGCCAGTTTGTCACAGCGCTGATCCTGCTGTGAGATAACAGCCTTCATGTGGTTTTCTCTTGATGCCAATTGTGAACTGACTTCGAGTAAATGCTTGCGCATGTGTCGAACTCAGTGAGAGTACCTTCATTAGCCTTGTAGATGCCAGTCACACTTCGGTTCCTTTAAGTTGACTGGCTGTGAAACAGTCATTAAGTCTGTGATGACTAATAGGCTTTTAAAAGGTCAATTTCAAGATAGAGTATTTTAATATGTCACCTTCTTGCAAATAAGTTATGCCATCTCTTTTCTCTGCTGCTTTCCACAAATAGAGTTGAAACGTCTAATTTGTAAGTTTTGAATCACAAAGTTATAATGAAACAAGCTTACAGATACAACTATATTTTATGGCTTTTGGTTTGTCTCATTAAAGCTTATTGTTTTATAAATACTTGCCCTCCAATTAATAGGATAAAAATCTTGCAGAAGTTACGAAACTGTTATTGATGCACTCCTCACATACAAATAAGTTAGGTCAGAATCAGTAGATCCCTATTACTTTCCTTGGGGAATGATTACACAACCCAACAAAACCATGTTTTTCTTGGTTTCTGAGCCTGTTCCTGGAGTTCTTTGGAATGCTGATTCAGAAAATTGCATTGGACCACATCAGCTCTAGATTCTTATACAGGCTGTCCCCAAGTTACAAACAAGATAGGTTCTATAGGTTTGTTCTTAAGTTGAATTTGTTTGTCTGTCATAACATATATATTTTTAAGTGTAACTCCAGCCACATCTATTGATCAATCTATCTGTTAGGCATGGGCAAACCATGGTTCTAAATGGTTCTAAAGTACTTACAAAACTAGGGGGTGCTGGTGCTTTGCTTCTAAAGTGTTGCTAAAATTCTGATGGTGAAAATTTCAGAATTCTAACAAAACTTTCAAAATTTTGTTATAAATGGCGGTTCCTAATAGGTTCTGTCATAAAAATTGCCAATAACAAAATAATAATGAAATTTTGAAAGTTTTATTAGAGTTCTGAAATTTTCACCACCAGAACTTTAGCAACACTTTAGAAGCAAAGCACCAGCACCCTCTAGTTCTGTAAGCACTTTAGAGCCATTGAGAACCATGGATTTGCTGGGGTGGGAAGGAGAGCCATAGTGCTAATATGTTGTGTCTACCTGATAGATTGCTCACCTGGTTTTTAGGAAATAGTTGAAGGTGCTCAGTTCAGTTTATTATGAGGAAGATTGGGCATTTTTAGCTCTTGGTCTGAAATCAATTGCCTAGGTAATTTAAGACATGTAAATACACTCAGTAAGATTAACCATCTATCAGGTGATAACTTCTGTTCAGTGGAGTGACAAGGGGTTTTTGAAGACAGATACAGCAGTACCCACAAAGAAATATAAACTAAGACGGCACCTATATACAAAACATTCAAAAAGGGCTTGCACTCTCTGTGCAGTACTAAGTGTTGTAAGTTTTAGTGCCATTCATATTGTCTCAGAGATATCCTTTGCCAGTGGGTTGCTGTGAGTTTTCTGGGCTGTATAGCTATGTCCCAGAAGCATTCTCTCCTGATGTTTTGCCCACATCTACGGCAGGCATCGTCAGAGGTTATGAAGTTTGTTTGAAACTAGGTAAGTTTATATATCTGTGGAATGTTCAGGGTCAGAGAAAGAACTCTTGTCTGCTTGAGACAAATGTGAATGCTGTAATTGGCCACCTTGATTAGCATTTAATGACTTTGTAGCTTCAAAGCCTGGCTCATTGCTGCCTGGGGGATCCTTTGTTTGGAGGTATTAGCTGGCCCTGATTGATTCTTGTCTGGAATTCCTATATTTTTGAGTGTTACTCTTTATTTACTGTCCCGAATTTAGAGGGTTTTTTTAATACTGGTAGCCAAATTTTGTTCATTTTCATGGTTTCCTACTTTTTAAAAAAATTCTCTACATGCTTGTGGATTTCCTTTGAGGATGCCTGCCATAGATATGGGCGAAATGTCAGGAGAGAATGCTTCTAGAACATGGCCATACTACCCGGAAAACTCACAGCAGCCCAATGATTCTGGCCATGCAAACCTCCAACAACACACTATACATTAACTGTTCAGCACATTTTGTCTAGCTCCTCAGCAAAAGTCCGTCTGATATGGGAGACCCCACCAGGAGTACTCCTACCATCAACTAGGGACTTGCTTCACAGGAGCATTCAATTTTACCAGCTTGGGAAAATATTGCCATGGTGAGGCTTCCTGCATATACCATTTCAGCTATTTTGAAATACTCAGAAAATCAGCCTGAAAATATTTTAGACTCCGTAAAATCAATGGGATGTTTTCTCTGTGCCCTGTGTATATGTATATTGAGAACTGTAACATGCGCTAAACATCACAATTTTCTGTTCAAGTCTTTACATGATTAATATCTTGCATTGTTTCCTATAGTGATTCTGGACGGGGCAGCAGTTTGTTAGACAGGGCCATTGCTGACAGACGACAGCTTAATACAATTACTTTGCCAGACTTCAGTGACCCTGAAACAGGTGAGAATTCATGTCTAAAACAATAAAGTGTCAGAGATCATCTGTACTATCTGATAAATGCAATCATGTAGATCAATCAAATATCTGACTTAGTTTCTTTGTAATTATTTCTGGGTTTTAATACTCTCTTACAAGATGCAGCCTCATGCAGAGTATGCTGTTGTATACTCGCTAGTCCAGTCCACAAATGTGATAATAAAGTTCCTCTGTCTCTTTTATTTAACCTGCCTGTCTATAAAACATTTCTAGATTGTTCATTTTCTTTGGGAAACTAGAGAGAGCTGTTTTACCTGGCAAGAGGGATTTGGGAGAATGAGAACCTGAAGCTGGATTTTAAAATCTTGTCTTAGCATACCCAAAAAAAGTGCTGGAGGGGAAGAGGCAAAGGGTGACGTGAGCCTTGCTCACTCTTCCTTGACGGATTGGGCATATCCAGTGTTTATGTTCAAGATGAAGAGTATTACTCCCCTGAAGGAACACAAATCTGTGTTAATTCATAGAGGTGCTTTGCACCTCCTTTAAAATTCCCATTTTCCTAACCTAAACCTTTTTCCAGCACATTGAAAAGGGAGGGCCCTTCCACACAGCCCTATATCCAGAATATCAAGGCAGGAAATCCCACATTATCTGAGTGTGGAGTCAGATAATCCAGTTCAAAGCAGATATTATGGCATTTTCTGCCTTGATATTCTGGGATATAGGGCTGGGTGGAAGGGCCCTGAATGTAGGAAACTCAGAGCCCTTCCACACAGCCCTATATCCTAGAATATCAAGGCAGGAAATCCCACATTATCTGAGTGTGGACTCAGATAACCCAGTTCAAAGCAGATATTGTGTCATTTTCTGCTTTGATATTCTGGGATATAGGGCTGGGTGGAAGGGCCCGGTGATGGCACTTACCTTCCTTGATCTCCCTTTCTGCAAACACTTTCTCTTTGATTTCTTGGAAATCCTACACATTTTTTATACAATACACTACACTTATTTACAGATTCCATATCCAGAGGTTCACTTACTCCCTTTCAAAAAAAAAAAATCCTCCCTGAAGTATTTGTGGGTCTCTCTTAGGGCCCATCCACACAGCCCTATATCCCAAAATATCAAGGCAGAAAATCCCACATTTTCTGCTTTGAACTGGATTATCTGAGTCCAGACTCAGATAATGTGGGTTTTTCTGCTTTAATACTCTGGAATATAGGGCTGTGTGGAAGGGCCCCCAGAATATCAAGGCAGAATAATTGCCTTGATATTCTGCTTTTTAACTAGGTTATCTGAGTCCACACTGCCATATATTCCAGTTCAAAGCAGAAAATGTGGGATTTTATTTAGCAGTGTGGAAGGGGCCAAGACCTCTATAGTATGCTTCCAGCCCAAGTATAACCAAAATATAAATTTCACAGTTTCAGGTTTTCTATGTGGTCTTAGAAGCTATCGCTCCATGGATATGGAAATTATAATGTGGTTGGTTCCCCCAAAACATCCCAAGAAATTCTTGCCTCAATAAAGCCACCATCCAGTTGCCTTGATTGATTTTCATTCAGCATCTGGCTTAGATCTAAGGCACAAACAGCTTGTACACAATAATGCAAATAATGATGCTGAAGAATAAAAAAAACCCTTAAGATCTAAATGCATTACTCATCTTTGAATGCCTGTTGAATGTTTGGAGCATTGTTCAGCAGGCTAAGAACAACAGGCCTAAAAGTGATGAGCAACTGATGGAGCCTGCTTTAGGATCCCGGGTTTTTTTTTTAAAAAAAAAAATCTTGTATTAAATTGTGAACTGCAAACATTCATATAGGCAGTTGGTTCAAAGGTACTTTTGTGAAGTACACACCAAAAATATATAGGGGAACAGATGTTTGAAATTCATGTATATTATACATTAAACTGAAAATACTTTTAAGTTCATGGAAACTCACATTAATCACCCACAAGTGCTTCTCTATGCCCTAAGGAGCTTGCTGTGTTGTGACTTAGAAAAGAATATACAATAACATCATTTCTGTATTTTTTGCAGAGTTAAGATTGTAGCCCTAAACACACAGCAAATTCTACAGAAAGAGTAGGTTTTTCTTTTAAATGTAATTGTACAAGTATCGCATTGTCAGAAACATAAGCACTCTTATTCATAATAATTCTGTAACTGTTTTATGAATAATATCTGTTTTTAATTCTTTTTACTAATTGAATGCATACTTCCCTTGAGATGCTTTCTCATAATATAATGAGAACGCTTTTGACGTTAAACAATTTTACAGTATCAGAGAAAGTCAACAGGTCTTTGGGCACAAGGCAAAAGGAACAAATATTACATTTAATGCACAAATCTAATATTTCTGTGTTGAATATAAACATTAAATTTAAAATTCAAACATACATTCTTAAGATGCTAACTATTATTTTGTTTTGCTTTGCTTCATTTTTTAAACACTTCTGTGGTGTCAGTATATGCTACCATATCTAATGTCAGATTCATATTTTACATGGTTACATAAACAAGTTCTTATTTGGGCAAAATCCAGTACTAGTTTTGTACTGAATTTCATGGTCCACCTTCTGGACCATGACATTGTCTTTAGGACAAGTGAAGAATTTGTTGGACCTGATATTCTTGGCAGAGTGTGTCTTCCAACAAATATCAGAATAGTTAAAATCTCCCAATTGCTATTACATGTTTCCTTTCTGAATGTGGTCATCTGTTCTAGGAAGGCATCATCCAGATTCTCAGTCTGGCTTGGAAGTGTGTAATAGATCCCCACAATTACACCCCTGTTGTTTCTTTCCCTCCTTAATTTTCCCCAAATACTTTCAACCTGCCTTCCAGGAATTACGTCATGGACCTTCTCACAGGTGTAAACATCCTTAATATGCAGTGCTACTACTTCTCCTATTTCCAACTCACTCCCACTAATTAAAGTGTAATGTGTAGTGGAGGCTCCTTCTTTGGAGGCTTTTAAACAGAGGCTGGATGGCCATCTGTTGGGAGTGCTTTGAATGTTATTTTCCTGCTTCTTAGCAGGGAGTTGAACTGGATGGCCCACGAGGTCTCTTCCAACTCTATGATTCTGTGATTCTATTAAAAGAGTTTAGTATTTTCCTTCCCATCCCTTCTCATCCCTTTCCAGCCTGGACAACATGTTGAAACAATCTGATCTTATTTGGAAGAAATGTTTAACTTGTGTGCCTTCAAGTCATGTCCTACTTATATTTATGCTATGATGGACCTATTGCAGGGTTTCGTTGGCAGGATTTATTTAGATTTGTTCGTCTGAGATGGAAATAATATGACTTGCCCAAGGCCACTCAGTGGTTTTCATGGCCAAGTGGGATTTAAACCCTGGTCTGCAGGATTGCAATCTAGTGCTCAAACCACTACACCATGCTTGTTCTGACTGTTGAGTTTTCCCCAGTTACTTACAAAAGAAAGGGTTTGTCACACCTGCAGCAAATTAAAATCCAAGTGCCTCTCCTTATATTGAATCAAGCCACGTTCTGCAGAAGAGCTTTGTATATCCTATCTTTTTGGGGGTAAAGATACAGTCTTGGATACTCTAATAGGATTTAACAGTGATGGTGCTAAAACTATAAGAAGGGTGTCTGTCTCAACAATTTTGGTCAGCAGTGTAATATTATAGCAGACCACTAGGAGAGACATAGTCATTTTATTTGGGTTAACATCTAGGTGGTAAATTGCACTTCCTCAGAGGCTTCTGGGAAAGTTATTGTTCCTCTTTAAACTTAAAATCGGGTTCTGATGATCCTAGATGAGGAGGTTGTGACCCATGAGTCAAACTCTCTCCACCCTTCATCAAAGCAAAGACTTGGTTATAGGCCAGATTCCAAATAGTGATGGGCTCAATCCTGAAGTTGTGTGTCTCTTCCAGAGGTATTTTGAATTGGTATGGGTTGTTCTTATATTGAATAAGGACTCCAGCAAGGATGAGATTAGTGTCAAAACAGGCCTTCTTAGGTCCCAGACCCATCAGTCTGTTTCAGGGTGGACCAAAGATTAAGAAGACCGTCCTGTCTTCAGAACATTAGAATTTCTCGTAAGAAAAAACAATAGCTATTGGGGTAGTAAGGTTCATAAATAGACCATCTGAGACATATCAGTTCCCAATTGTTGTGCAGAATTCTGTGTTGTGATAGTGGTGATTACTTCACACACACGTAACTACTACAATATAGCATTTGCAGCATGTCAGCCAGCAAAGGTGTTTTCAGCAGCACCTGATTTACTGATTGAAGCTGTCTTCACCCACTCTTAATCTGCCAGCTGTGACAGATTTCCCACTTTCTTTTCAGGCAGAATGGCTTATATGGGGTAGGAATGAGAGATGTTCTCATTATAGACTTTAAATAACAGGAAGAACCTGGAGTTGTTTTTGAACTAACATTGACTGCCGATTGTAAACCACCTCGAGTCGCCTTCGGGCTGAGAGGTGTGATATATAAATTTGGCAAATAAATAAATAAGTAATAAACATTTATGTTTAGCATATTTTTTTTAAAAAAGACAATTCTTCTACAATCCTGGTCATAAAAATGGGACTAACCTCTCCCCAAAACATACATGTACTCTAAATATACACGAGTCGTTTTTGACGTTGTCCAACAGTGTTAAAGTAATGCGTGAGCATCCATTATTTGAGCTGGACCTTACAACATCAATCAAGGTGCTTTTTAGGCTAAGTGACAGCAGTATTTTTGTGCAAGGTGGTGAAGCTGATCTTGTGAACCAGTCACCCAAAGAGCTACTGAACACTTATCACTGACAGAACACTTTTATTTACTTACGGTACTTACGGTACTTCATTTTTGCCCAATAAAGGGACTCAAGGTGGCACTTAGCAGTTATAGGGACTACGGTTTTTAGAAACTAGTTTCTGTCATATTTATTTCTATCACACACACAGTTGTGTGCCTTACATAAGAAGCATTTCTTGGTCATACCTTCTGTGAACTCACAAGTATAGTTGTTCTGCACCTGCAAAGACTGATAAAAACTTCTCCAGCTAAGGATAGCATTTTCTGTGGGAACCCTGATCATCCGGTGCTCATGCCTCCTGAGATTCAACTTGGTTCCCTTTTATTCATAGCAAAAACAGCTTATTAGGAACTTCCAATATCATGCTTTTTAGTTGGTTTTTGTACTTCATTGCATTCATTTTCTTCATCTCATAATAATTGTTTTCCACCATGGAGCCTGGGGGCTCACTGTCTCCAGAGAATACTGTAAGAAGTATATCACCTGCAGAGTAAAATCCTAGTCTCTGATAATCTTCACCAACCAGGCACTTAGGTAAAGTGTGGCTCATCTGAAGGCGTATCCTTTAGAAAATGTTGTACTTTAGAGGACATTGTAAGAATGTTTGTCTTCACAAAGAAGTTGTGTTTGAAGTAGAATATTTTATTCTAAACACGTGACAGCTGGTATCTTCCATGTTAGTGGAACATTAAAATCACTCCTAATTCCAGTCAGGACTTTAAAGAAGTAATATAGTGTGTTGAACCTTCAATCATTCCTTGGAAATTCAGATGAAAGCTTAGAATGGATTCATCACCCCACTGAAGTGGATGCCATCAGCCATTACTGTTCCAGGTCCCCTCCATCTACCATACATGAGTTCTGCTGCTGTAACTACCATACTCCTAGAAGCCAGCATAGTAACATCCGTGTTGGAGTTCTGAAACCCAGTGAGATACTAGGGATCAGATTGTGATATAGATAAAGAAAAAGAGAAAGAGAATAAGAAAGAAAACAGTGAGCAAAGGACAGGCATAAGAGGCCCTTCACATTACATTCCTTGCACTATGGATAAAGCAGTGGTTATGAATTGTAAAATTGCATCTTGTCTTCAACCAAGCTGTTAGAACTGTTTCTGGTATCAGTTTTCATTAGTCAGGTCCTTCTCAATATCACAGTTCCTGTACTGCCTCCTCTGTAGATCATCTGCTCAACTTCTGCAGAGATAATAGTCTGGAGGAACAGTTGCTTTTTTACTATGCCCTTGAAGATTTTGGCATCATACTCATAGAATGGGATCTTACATTCAATGTCCCCTTGTAGAAACCATCTTTCTCATTGGACCCCTGCTTACAAATTTCCTAAGCCATTGAAAACTTAGTATCACTTCAACATGATGCTAAAGAATGATCCTCTTGCCTGTCTCAAAATGAATAATCATTTATTTATTTATTTATTTACAGTATTTATGTTCCGCCCTTCTCACCCCGCAGGGAACTCAGGGCGGACTACAATGCACTTATACATGGCAAACGTTCAATGTCATTTAGACATACAACATATATAGACAGGCACAGAGTCAATTTAATATTCCAGCTTTTCCGGGTTCATGAGGGTATGCTCGATTCCGGCCACAGGAGGACCTGCCACTTCACCGTCCACTTGTGACACCGATTCCTTTTGATGGAGTGCTTCCTCATTCTTCTGCATGCTGCTGGAAGGTTTTATGTCATTGTAAATTAGTTAAATTAGTCTCCCCGCATAAAGCGGTACCTAAATATCCTACTTGACAGATGCAACTGTCTTTAGGGCTGCATAGGTCAACAACAGCAAGCTAGACTATTAATGGCCAGAAGCTCACTCCGACCCGGGTTGGCTTTGAACTCATGATCTGGTCAGTAGTGATTTAATGCAGCTGACGTCTAACTAGCTGTGCCACAGCCCGGTCCTTTAATCATATTTAATAATATTTAATATTTCCCGGAGTGTCTGCACAGAGGAATGCTTACCCATTGCATTTTGATCGGGTGAATCTGCCCTCAGCACCAATTGCTGAATTATGTTGGAAGTCTTACTTGGTACCATATTGGAAGTCTGACTTGGTACCCACCGCTGCCTTCTGATCCTTGGACTTAATGTTATCGTAAAAATGAGACTCCATTTCCTTCTAATCCAGCCTTTCTTCTTTACCATTCCATGAGCCTTAATAATCTCCCATGCAGGCACATCAGCAGACTTAATATGGCTATTCAGCCTCTTGTGCATATAACCATACATACATTCTCCCCCTAAGATATCACTCCCTGCCATTCAGCAAGTACCATCTGCTCGGCGTATCTCTTATAATTTAAGTCTCAGTCTTAAATTAGCTACCACAAGAACTGGCACGAACAACTCAAAGAGCTGCAGTAGTGGATCTGGCACAACTACCAACATTGCTGACCTGGTCTGCATAAGCTAGCCCATTCTTTCCCTTTTCAGCATTATCTGCAAGCCCTTTTATGCAGGTCACACCAGAGTTTATGAATCTACATGCAACATACATTGTGTTATCTCAAGCTAAATCTTCAGATAATTCTAACACAGAGAATAGGGATTATTTTATAAGTCCTCAGCTTCAGACCTCAGTATTTAACTTAAATTAGACTTAAATCAGAATATTCTGTTCTGTATGAAGGATATTCACCCCGTCCTGACTTAGTCATGTAGCAAAACAACTGGAGTTAAGGATAATACTTTTGGATTCTCCATGAGAGATCCTGTCCTTAAAGAGTTTTAGTCCCAACTCATCATACTGGTTTCCCTTTCTATGCTCCCCCTATGTCATCCATCAGCTACAGGAAATACTGTTCTCCATTCTGCTAACTTCAAGGAGGATAGAAATTTTTTGTTGGGTTCAAAGTGAGGATTTTTTTTTTAAGCACCGTTCTGGATAAGCCTCTTGAAAATCTGTTTTGGATTGTGTTAATCTTTGAGACCAAAACCCACAGGCTCTCTGGCAACTAACACTGTTTGTCATCTAGAGGACCTGAAGGCCAGAACTGTTGCAAGGGTGATAACAGTATGTCATCACATATGTCTTCGCTCCTCTGCCTTAGGTCCTGAAGGCTGGATGAAGGTTGAGAATATGCCCTTAAGTCTGCTTAACATTAAGACTGATGGACCCTGACCAAAAAATGGAGGCGACAGTGTATAAGATGGGAGCCATGGTCATGAATAACTTTTCTTCGTGATCCTGACAGTTTTGATAACACCAGTCTTCCTTCTGTCTATGTCATTCATCTTCAGCAAGTCATGTTCATCATCGTGGACATTTTCTTCTATGCAATCTCAAGGAAGAAACAGAGCGATTTGTCAAGATACCAATTTTGATAGAATAGAGCCTCACCTTGGAAATTCCTTGCTTCTGAGACACTACTCCCTTTGATGTTAGGTTTTCTCACTTCCTTACCATTTGGAAGGTGATCACCACAGACAAATGGGTTCTCTACCTCTGTCTTATCAGTATCTGCATGTGACCACTCTCTTAACCAATGAGATAACAATTTGAACTGTTAGCAGTGTGTGACCTCCTATCAGTAAAATGTTTTCCTTCTGATAATGACATCTGCCAAGAGAGCTGGTCAACTCTTCACATGACCTTCCTCATCTATAGTCCCATCCTGACAAGATTGTACTTTAACTAGATGTCACCTTTCTACTAAAGATGGTACCTCATTTCCATATTTCACTGATATTGTGCCTCCTGCTTCCTCGTCTGCAGTTCTGGAAACAGTTGGACTAGTTCAATGCTTAGAGGGCTCTAATATTTCAAGTTGACAGTACCAGTTCCTCTTGGTCTTCTCCCAGAATGTTGAAACAACTCTTGGCTAATTTAATAAAGGGGACTATATCCAGAATTCCACCTAGGCATGCACACTAGGTGGACAGAGTTTCTGCCAAAAACACTACAATTCAGTAGCTCTAGAAAAATTCAGTTAACTCTTGCAGGTGCAGAATAAGCTGTGTGTGACTTCACAGATCACTGCCCAAAGAACCATAGTTGTAGGTAAACCACGTGACTTGACCAAACTGAAAATATTATATGTCCATGCCCCTAAGATCTCAGTAAACACTTTAATATATTTTATTTCATATTAGAAAACTGGCAGGAAGACAACTGTGGGGAAACTGTCGCACTCTTATTTAGTGATGGTTAAATGGGCTATACATTATTCTTTTCTTTTTCTGACATCCATTAACCCATTCAAATCCTATTTCTGTCATTTCTCTTTATAATTTTTCTCTTTCACTTTCTAGCTTCTGATTCTTCCACATCTTCATCTCTCTCAAGAACCGAATCTCCTCTCCACCTGTTTATGTCTTCTCAGTCTCCTCACCCTCCTCATCCCAAAACTGATACCTTTGTGTGGCCCTATGCAACCAATCCCAACTGTGACCACGTTCCTGGGCCCTACGAACCTTCACCCTGTAAACCGATTTCCTCTTTCTGATAGGCATTGCTAGTTTTTGCTTTGCTTGTGCTTCTGATAATCTCCATAACTGCTAAGCACCAATTCCATTCATACGTTGTTGAACTTGAAGGTGTTTGGTAATGAGTGCGCTTATATCTGTTAGGATATATTTTGTTTCTATTCAATAAGTAATGAAGGAATATGGGAATGCCAAAGATTTAGGCTGAAATATCTGTTCCTGTAAGTCAGCATGAATAGTTTTAAGCAGCTAACTTCCCAGTTTCACCAACAGTGGAGAAGGACTCAGAAGAGGTCCACCAGGGGGCTCTGTTGCTTCCCTGACGGAATAGAGCCAATGGTGCTGGCAGAAGACTCGACTGCAGCATTGTGTTGGGTCATTGGCACCTGTTAGCTCATCAGTGCCAGAAGTCTGTTGAACTTGCATTGGTTCCCAGTGATAATTCCATTAAAAAAACAAAAACAAACCAACCAGAAACAGTAATGTGTCCAGCATTGGATGTCTGGCACCTAATCCTAAGTAGTAAAACTGTTCTCCATCTCATCAAGGATGTCTTTATATGTATGCATGCAGTCTTTTAGGTGTGTATCATAAACTTGAAATATAAATGTGATGAAAATATTGTACTGTATAAAGGACTTACTAGGACTAGACATGGAAATGCACCAGGATAAGAAAAATTATGGTGTCTTGGCTGCCAGCTTGAAATCTGTGTAGTTGCAGGAGAAGGTACCATTGAGTTCCCTTTTAAACTTTCCTTTCAAACCTTAGGATTCAGAGGAAGAATGTAGTCCCTTTTCGAGTAATAAATAATGTTTCTGTATTTATATGTATCTGCCAGTATATAAGATATAAGTAAGATGGGAAATGCACTCAGGAAGCAGAAGGTTGATATAGTAAGCAAGTAAGACTTCCATCATGATGCGCCAAAATTGTCACTTTGACCAATTTGTCAACTGATTAAAAGAGAAAAACAGTATTGATTAATATTATCTTTATTCAGTTTGTGACTAGGAAGTGGATTGTCTCCTGATATTCATGAGAAAAGAACATAATTGCTTGCACAACCTTTCTTTTAGTTGAATCTTTATGAGTAAGGAAGGGAAGACCTTTTCCTTCCCACGCAGTTAACTAATTCTGAAATATGAGGACCTTTTGAAACGAGAATTAAATATAATTGGCAATAATTTTATTTTCTAGATATTTGTTTCAAGACAGAAATGATTTTATTCTTTTGCGGTTCCCACCCCCCTTGTATAAATGTATTAGATCTGTTAATTTGAGCAGAGTTGAGTGATTAAATCCTTGTCTCTGGCACCAAATTAGATGACAGGTGCTAGAAAATCAGTAGCAAAGGAGTGCAAATTAATCAGGTCACAAGGTAGTTGGATCCTATTTCAGTTACTCAAAGAATAGTGTTTATGCTTTCATTGTAAGGCTCTTTGTGTTCCTGCTTGTTTGTTTAAGACTGTCTGTGGTCCTGGGTTTTCACTGTGACAGATTAAGAATATTGGGCAAGTAAGAACTGCCTATTAGAAAGAAGGAAGCAAAGTTGAGTTGATAAAATTCTGGACTGTGTCATTGCATATTGCAGATTATGTAGTATATCTGAAATAATATTCCAGATCTGTCTTTCTGTGCTAGTTTCTTATGTGCAGTGACTTGTTTTACATGGAGAAGCGTTCAAAAAGAAGACCTCTGAACAATATTTATATTAATGCATGGTTATTATTATTATTTTCTGATGATCAGTGTGAGAATCAGCGTTGCAGGAGAAGAGAAGCATATGTCCGCAGAATCAAAGTGGAACCATTAATGAAAATCTAGGAGTTGGCTTGAGCTCTCAGAGGTTTAAGAAATTGGGGGCTGGCTCTTACTTTGAATAATAGTAAAGGTAAAGGTTTCCCTTTGACATTAAGTCTAGTCATGTCCGACTCTGGGAGTTGGTGCTCATCTCCATTTCTAAGCCAAAGAGCCGATGTTGTCCGTAGACGCCTCCAAGGTCATGTGGCTGGCATGACTACATGGAGTGCCATTACTTTCCCACTAAAGTGGTACCTATTGATCTACTCACATTTGCATGTTTTCGAACTGCTAGGTTGGCAGAAGCTGGGGCTAACAGCGGGAGCTCACCTCACTCCCCGGATTCAAACCACCAACTTTTTGATGAGCAAATTCAGCAGCTCAGCGGTTTTACCCGCTGCACCACCGGGGGGGGGCTCCCCACTTTGAATAATAGTACTAGCAAAATGGGGCGACCACCTCATGTAAATTTATGCTAGTGACCTTCCCCCTCACAATTTTTTTTTGACAATTCCTTTATTCCACAATTTGTGCCCTATTGACAGCAGTTCTTTCTGTTTTTGACTCATTGGCTCACCTTGGTGTTTTTTCTGAGCAAATCGTGGTGTTGAAATAAGCTACAACAGACACTGTTCTATGCCCCCCCCCCCCCCCCCGGGCATCAAAATAACTTGAGTTGCCCTGTCGATAAAAGCTAATTGTTGGTGAACATTAGTTGACAATTCCCTGTTGAGTCCCCGTAGTGTAAAGCGTGCCACTATAATGTAAAATTGCTTGGTTTTAATGAAGCTATGACTCAGAGTTCCATAGGGACACATGAAAAACAGTGAAAAGTTGCAAAAATGGAAACAAAGAGGTAGGCTGCAAATTTTCAGGCTTCAATGAAAACTGCAATATTTATGTGGGATTTTTTTTAAAAAAAACCGTATGTGATGATTTTGCAGGAACCTCATTTTACTCTTATTTGACCTAAAAGTTGGTTCTCTTGTAGTTTGTAACAGAATAAAGTTGTTTTTTTTCCTCCCTGTGAGTTCATATCAGTAGAAATGGTCCAAACAGTGTCAGTGTGTGTGCTTTGTGACCTGATTGATATTTAACAAACTCTAAATTCTTATTGAAAATGTGTGATTTGATTTCTGTTTGAACAACTGATTGTCTGTAAAAAGCAAGTAGACTTGCTTACAGTTTGAAGGTTATCAGAAGTATATTTGCTTTCTGTGTAATTCTCTTTTAAAGCTATTATTCTTTGTGATTTTAATTTGTGGTTTGATCTGTTATTTAAAGGCAACCCTCCAGATGCTTACTTTCATGGTTTTTTCTCCCTTTTTTCAGTTTGTAAGTAGTATTTACTATACAGGTCTATTCCTAAATTTCTAAAGATGTAGTAATAACACCCTCCCTTCACCACAGAATGTTAATGTTGTCCATTCGTCATGGAGGTTTGACAGCGTGCAAAGCAAGGCTGCTGCGCTTTCCCCATTCAAGGCACCCTGAGGCTGTAATCCTGTGAGATCTAAATGCACTCAACTCGCACTTGGATTCAGTTATGAAAGAGGCAGTATTAATTTCTGGAGGGCTGCAAATTTGGAAGCAAGCAAGAGCTAGTATTAAACATTTGTCAGTGGATTTTTTTCATCTACCAAGTCCATTCATCATATAATCAATTCCTCCCACTTAGCTGGCTTTTTTATTTTTGTTTTTAGTCTTTTGGCTAAATTCTTAAGAAAATGATGGTATTATTATTATTATTATTATTATTATTATTATTATTATTATTATTTGCCAATCATCTGCATGGTTTATCTGCCATTCAGTATTCAGTAATTGATTTTGGCCTATTAGTGATGATGTTTTTATAATTACCTGAAATGGAATGCTAGCACTCCATACACCACCAGTCTTACCTAAAAAAAGAGGTTTGCATTGTTACAATTCAGAAAGTCAAATACTTGACTTTTTAAACTGAAATAAACCATTTCCTAAATTGTAGAGAAACTTTTTATAATATTGAAGATGAGGAATCTGAGTTTCAATTGCTAAGTAAGCCTCCTGTGGTTTTTATGATAGCCATGCCTCTTTTATTTAGTCCTGCAGAAGGTACTGTCTCTTCACCCCGGAGAGTGTTTTGCTTGCATGTGCTTACAGATCTCTGCATGTACCACATGTTGGTATTTTATATGTGTTGATGCCTGCTACTTTTTGTTTTTATTTTAACATGTGGAATCTGATGTGTGTTTTCATCTTGCATGGTTTTGCACAGTTCCGTTTAATTCCTTTCCTTTCCTTTGATTGACATTATTCTCATGTAATTTTGACTTAAAAACAATGTTCTGTTTTGCAGCAAGTAGAGGATGAGCCCCAAAATATTTCTATAATATTAAGTATTGATCATTTCACCGTTCATTAGGCATCTCTAAAGAGAAACACACCTGGGAAAGTTATGACATGCTTATCCTATCAAGACATGATTATTTGTCATAAAGCATCAAGTAGAAAAACAAGACAAAATTGAGGTTGTTGCCCTTTCAGTCTTTTGCTGAAATCAGCCATTTTATCAGCTGCTCATAAATTAAAATTGCTCCCATAGCAAATACGTGCAGAAATGCTGACAAATTCATTAATCACCTTGTCACAATGACAGCCTTCCTTTGTTGGTTCTTCAAATTGTGGCGGATGCCTCTTGTTGAATTAAAGGATTATAAAATTAAGCCATTCAAACAATGCATAGCTTCATCTTAGTGAATGAAATGTCAGTGCAGTGACTTTTGTTAAATTTAATAATAATTCCTGGAACAGGTACAGATGAAGTGTGAGAGAATGCCTCTACATCTACAGCAATAGCTATGAAGTATAATAAAAAGTGAGACAGCAAATGTAGCCCAGGCAATAGCTGGTTATCTTTTTTTCTTAATGCTTTCAGGAAGTGTTTTTTATCTCTATTCTAATACACAGTCAATCCCTAAGATATAGTTTGTAGTAGAAAAATCTCCAGTTGGAATAGGATTATAGAAACATAAACAAGAATCACTCATCTGTAGATCACACAACCAAGTTGCCTTTGAGGTTAGGCAAAGGTCCAGAAATTTCTGCTTTTTCCCTACTGACTTCTACATATTTCTCATTTTCTCTGAGGGTGGTAAATGTGCGTTGGGGATGTCATCTCAGCCTGCAAGTGGGAGATTACTGAGTTGAATGCTGTGTGGGATAGGTAGTGCCTTCTGCATACAAAACTAGAATTTGAGGAGGAATTAGCTTCTTTTAATAAATGTATTTGTTATGCAGTTACACTTAATCATCGGGAAGACAAAAAGCCACCTGATCATTGCAAGGTCTGTCTAGGTCAATATTATCTATTGTGATTGGCACAGCTCTCCAAGGATTTAGATGGAAGTCATTTGAGTCTGCATCTGCGGACTGGGCTGATTGAAGGCCAAGATAAATTTACCTCTTTGGGGCAGAGAAGTCGTAGTTATAATCTTATGTGCCTACACATTTTGTGTCAAATGCATTAAATACCAAAGGTGGTTTATTCCTTACGGCAAAGTGATCTGTTTTGGACTACAGCTTCCACAAGCCCCACTTCACGTGGCCAGTAGTTACCAATTCAGTTCTAAACACTTGGAGGACACAAGTTTCCCTACCCATGATTTATGAAATAGGACTTGAAAAGCTACATGGAATAAGAATGTGTCATATTACTTAGTAAGATTGAATAACACACGTTTTGCTAATATATTAATATTTAACTTTAAATTAATATGAAAAAAATAGACAGCGATCAATAGAAAGAGAATACTTCATGTGGGTTGCCTGCAAAACAAAGAAGTGCGCAGCCCTAAAGCTGCTTGCTGATTTTGCTGAGAAGAAACTGAGACTAAGGGACATTTCACTTCATTAGAAATGAGGTGTTCTTAGCTTTCTGAAGAATATATGAGTATATGCACACATGTTGGCTGCAGTTCTCATTTTTGTTTAGATATCGTAAACACTAGCCAAAAAAAAGGTTGTGAAGTTGCCCATAAACATATCATAGAACCTCTCCTTCTTAGGTTTACTGATTTTCAGGATTTAACACCGTTGGTCTCCAATTGTAAGGAACCATAACATGGTTGTGATATTAAATGCTGGCAATAAGATTGTTTCCCTTCTTCAAGATGACAAGGATAGGATATACATTTTTTTTCACATCAGGAGCAACTTGAGAAAGTTGTTTCTGGTGTGAGAGTTGGCTGTCTGCAAGGACGTTGCCCAGGGGATGCTCGAATGTTTTGCCATCCTGTGGGAGGCTTCTCTCATGTCCCTGTATGAGAAGCTGGAGCTGACAAATGGGAGGTCATCCCGCTCCCCGGATTCGAACCGCCGACCTTCAGGTTGGCAGTTCAGTCGGCACAAGGGTTTAACCCATTGCACCACCAAGGGCTCCTAGGATATACATTGGGACGAGAAATATGCATTACCTGAAGTACATATTCAGTCTTCAACTACTCCCTTTCTAATATTAAATATTTCAGTGACCACACATTTTGTGGATTGGAGGAGGATCCAGGGCTATCCTTTTCTATTTAAGAAAAGTCCTGAATATTCAACTTAGGATCTTTGGTCTGCCCTTTACAAGTCTCAGGGTTATGAGTCCAGATGCACTTGAATATGCCTACCTGTCTTCATTTTTTCATGCATAGCAATTTGGGCCCTTTTAATATATTCTTCCTCCCACAAAGAGACTAGTACTAAAATGACTTTTGTGTGTCATAATAGATCGACTTCAGTAGACATACTGTCTATTAGGAAAATATTCTTAAAATGTGCAGAAACCAAGGCCACATGCTATGCCAATGTAAATTCCTTATTTTAAACAGTTGGGAGTATGTGAAAAGTTTGTGCTTCCCCCCCCCCCCAAAAAAAATCTCCAGTGATACACATAATCTCAGCATCCTCTCTTTCTGTCTGCAACTGCAATTAAGTTTTGTTTCAGCACCATCAGGAAATTTGGTTAAGATGACTAGCTTTAAATTTGATTCTGGCATAAGAAAAAGAAGAATAGCGTAAGAATGTATGCTCTCTCACAGTGGTCCCTCTTAAAATGTTTATGTGAACACAGATGAGGATATATATAAAATACTTGGGTATGTTACCTCAATGCGTGAAGAGAAAGAGCTCCCTTTGGTATGGCAAAATCGCCAGTTTCAACTTTTCCTACTGCAATCACCCGCCTTATTCCATTCTGTTTTAGATTTTCTAGCTTCTAGAAAATTTTAATTATTTATTTACCATACTTATACCATGCCCTTCTCATACCGAAGGGCATACCATGCCCTTCTCATAACAAAATAAACATATACACTAAAACCAAAAGCTAAAAACATCTTGAATATTCAAGCCAATTATTAAAACCATGCAATCCAATACTGAGGCCGTTCCAGTTGTCATTTCCCTATTCTGTGTTCACTAAAAGATTACTATCTGAAAGCTTGGTCCCACATCCATGTTTTTTTCTGAAGTTCAGTGGAGAGGGGGCTGATCTGATTTCACTAGGGAGGGAGTTCTAAGTCCAAGGGGCCACCACTGAGAAGACAATGGTCTCTTGTCCCCACCAACCACACATACGAAGGAGTTGGGACCGAGAGCAGGGCCTCCCCAGAAGATCTTAATCTCCTATATGGTTCATAGAGGGAGATTCGTTTGGACAGGTATGCTGGGCCAGAACCGTTTAGGACTAAAGCCAGCACTTTGAATTGTGCTCAGTAGCAGACTGACAGCCAGTGGAGCTGGCGTAATGGGGGGTTGTATGCTCCCTGCACGTTGCTCCAATGAGCAATGGCTGCTGCCCGTTGGACTACTTGAAGCTTCCGAACAGTCTTCAAAGGCAACCCCATGTAGAGTGTGTTGCAGTAATCTAATCAGTAATCTAATGGCACAAAAGGTCTGCACCAAGAAGCAGAATAGGAAAGCTCTGCCAAACAAATGGATGATGATCCAATCCTGTAAGAATATATGTATTAAAATACTTGCTAAATAGTAGCTCCATAATACCCAGATTGTAAATACACTTATTAAACTAATATGTAAAAACAATATAAGAGTGTGAAAAGAAACTCAGTTTCTCCGTGAACTGTGAGGATTGCGTAAAGGTGAAAATGCCCTTAGCAGCTATAAATCAAACCATAATCCAGCAGATGACATTTTCCCCTTCTGCACACAACATAAGTTTCAGCTGTTTAATTTCTGCTTGTCACAAAGTCGCCAGAGCGCTGTTACACAGTAAAGTTCTGAATAGATGTAAAATCTGTGGTGGCTAATAAATAAGATGTTCCAGGGGAAACATTCAGTATTATTTTTGAAGGAAAATATAATACATATGAACAGTGTTCCAAAATTGCCATCAAGGAAATAAAGGAAGGTGATTCATTTGTGCAATTGTTTATTTGTAGCTTGACAAGGCATTCGTCTTTTTCTTCTTGCAGAAATCTGTGACACTTTTATTTTGTCTAGTTACTTAAGCTTTTGTGAAATATTATACTTGATCAGCCTGTTTATCGAAGTTGGTATCTAAAGAGGGACAGTAAACATTGCCCCAAAACAACTATGCTTCAAGATATTTAATATTATAACTGTAATATCAATTTGTGTACTGTTTGGTACATAGAACATACAACAATAACATTAATAATAACAACATATCAAGGAGAGGAAGGAAAGTGTACTACAGATCAAATGTGTAATCTGAATGCAAATCAGATCCCCTTCCTTTAGCTCTAACTCAGTGGTTCTAACCTGTGGGTCCCCAGATGTTTTGGCTTTCAACTCCCAGAAATCCTAACAACTGGTAAACTGGCTGGGATTTTTGGGAGTTGTAGGCCAAAATACCTGGGGACCCACAGGTTGAGAACCACCGCTCTAACTCTATTTTGGACTAAGGTCCATTCTATTCACTTCTCAAGTTCTTAATATTGATATTTGAGTGGACTTTGAGTTGCATAACAGGTTCTTATTCAGGAAAGTGTTGAGATCATTTTATACGCATTAATTATTTTGTTCTGCCTATTCACTATCCTTAAAACAGTGTAATTACATCTCCTGGGAAGAAAAAATACTGCAGCTACTAGTACTGAAAAACAAATAGTAACATTTACATCATATGTCATCCAAGCTTCCTTGGATCTTAAAATTTGTGCGCATAGATGCTAAACTTTCATACCTGCAGATTAGTAGTTTATTAGCTTTGTGTTTAGCAGTGGCTGCTCCAATCTCTTGACATTTCTGGTGATAAACTGGGCTTTTGATGTGGGGTCACTAACATTTAACATCCTGATTATCAGGAGGCGAGAAACGTGTTTGCTTTAGGATGTTGTGCACAGGTAAGATGGAGAAGTGAAAGCAACATCAGAAGCTTAACCCCCACCTCCATACAATTTTTATTATGATTTTACATCCACAGGTTCAATTCATGCAACGTCAATAGCAGCCTCTAGAGTGGAGCAGGCGTTGTCCGAGGTTGCCTCCTCTTTACGGAGCAGCACTCCGAAGCAAGGTCCTCTGCATCCTTGGATGACTCTGGCTCAAATCTGGCTTCATGCAGGTAATGAGGCACAGCTGCTGTTTTCTTTTCCTGCTCATTAGCTCCAGGAATTTGTATTCATTGCATTCAGCAGGCCAGAATGTTTTATTGTATGTCAGCTAAAAGCACAGCTTTTCAGGACACTTATTCAGAAAGTGGCATTTTGTTTCATTTCGAGACAAGAACATTGGATGTTTAATTTATGAAACAGAGGTCTAGGGGAGGATGGCATTTAGTATTTAGCAACGTTGTCAGAAGATTGACTCCCCCCTCTCCCCTTTCCCCAAATGCTGCTCAGGTTTTGTGAAGTCATGGAAATTTAAAGTGTCTCGTTCAAAATTAAATGTGACAGTGTTTTGGTGAACTTTAATCTGGCATTTTGGCAGAATTGTGCAACTGAAACAGGGTAGCTCAAAACGTGGGTTTTAGACAAAAAGATAAATGCCACCAAAATTACATCTGTTATTTTTTTTCCCAAGCTGTAAACTAAAACTACTTTTTTTGGAGGAAATCTATTTGGAGGAACATATATATATTAAAATGTTGCTCCAATATTTTAATAACTTTAACTCTATAGCTATAGTTCTGACTTTAAATCAGGAATAATACAGGTGAATACAGATATTGACATCAGATTAGGAGAGCTACAAAGAAAGCACTTTAGTCACATGTGGCCATGGTCACATTGTCACATGGAGGTGCCATATAAGTTCAGAGGTTGGAATACACTTTTGAATGCTTCTGGACATGATCACACATTCTGAGAAGCGAATTTTTGAGGGGGGTTTCATAGAAATTAGGCTCTGGGATGGACAGTGAATACATGCCAGTCCTCCCTGTCTCAGCCTTCCATCATGATAGATTCATCTTATGGTCACCACAAGTTGGAAGCAACTCAAAGGCACACAACACCACATTTAAAAAGATATCATTGTCATCATAGCCATCCTGAGTCCCTCTGCGGAGGTTGAGATAGGACAGGATATAAAAGCCCGAAATAAATAAATAAATAAATAAATAAATAAATATAAATCATTCAAATCAGTGGTTCCCAACCTGTGGTCCATGGACCACCAGTGGTTCGCAAGAATGAAAATATGGTCCATAGTCTCACCATTACTATACCTTTGCCTTGAAAACATGAGACAATGAGAGTGACTGGTCTCGCAAAACCCTCTTATAGTGCCAAGTTAACAGGGATGTCGGGAGAGGAGAGGCTGACTACCTACAAAAGACTACTACCATATCAGCTCTGGATTATTAAATATGGCTTTCTGTGGGCAAGATGGCGATTACTGCGTGGCATATGTTCTGTATCAGAAACTACAGCTGTTGTGGTCTATCCAATGCAGTTTTCTGAATCGGCATGCCAAATAACCAAACCAAATCTAAAGTTGACCAAAAACTGATTTGTAGCCTGTTTGGTACTAATGTTGGAGAGTGGTCCTTGGTGAAAGTGGTATAAAAAAAAGGTTGTGAACCACTGATTTAAATATTTTAGAATACTACAAGGGTAGATTGCAATAAGCAATAATGGCCACGCTCCTTTCACCATGGACTGCATGGATCCTGTAGTACAGCCTTTCTCAAAATGATTGTCTAGATTCTTTGAACCACTCTATTTGGCACCAGCCAGTATGATCAATTATTGGACTGTTGGGAGCTTCAGTGCAAAAAAATTGGTGGACACTGGTGGTGTATCTACACTGTAAAATTAATGCAGAGAAGGCTGAAGAACTTTCAAAATTACAACTCCCGTGATTCCATTGCATTGAGCCATAGCAGTTAAAATGGTGTAAAACTGCATTAATTATATAATGTAGATGCACCCTGGTTTTCTCTAACTTGCTGTAGAATTTGCAGCACTTCTGATAAGATTTTAAGGGCTAAAGAGAAACATAGTGGAACTTTGGAGGCTTTCCTTTGATGGCTTCAGCTCCCCATACTGATTTCTTAAAACTGATGAAACTTCTGGTTAAAAAGCCTCACAGGTCAATCTAGATCAGTGGTTCTCAACCTGTGGGTCCCCAGATGCTCAACTCCCAGAAATCCTGACAACTGGTAAACTGGCTGGGATTTATGGGCGTTGTAGGTCAAAACACCTATGGACCCACAGGTTGAGAACTACTGGACTAGATCAAATGGCCAGGAAGAGTGGAGAGAACCAGGAAACCTTTCTGGACATGTGGCCAGCGCCCTTTTAAAAAGACACACCAGGGTTATTTTTCCCAAGAATAAAGCCTCCAAGTGAAATACTGTCTGATTCATTTATTGCAGGTTTCATGAAGAGACATTAAAAACCCTTTAGGCTGTTTAATTAGTGTCATACAACATTCATCTCCGCCATCTCCAGGGGTTCTTTCATTGTACAAAATTATAGCACTGTGATTTCACTTTAATTGCCATGGCAACATATTGTGGATGCCTGGGGTTTGTAATTCGGTGAGGCTGAAGAGCCGTCTCACAGGGAATCCTAAATACACCTGCCTCAAAAGCATATCTCAGGATTCATAATAGAATCATAGTGCTATATTTTTGTAGTACACGTGCTTCAGATTGGGTTCCTCTAATGTTCCCCTAAATCCCTTGACGTGTTGTCTAGTAACATGCTGATTTTGCTGTCTTTTAACATGCTGACAATACTTCCTTTTCCTTGTCATTTTTTAAAAAAAGATGCAGAATTGTTATCTCTCGGGGCCAACTACACGTGTGCAGCAGGAGAGCAAAGATTGGTTTCCTGAATATGTGATATTTACTTTGAAGTAGCTATGAGAAGTTCTATTGAAGTAGCAGCATTCAGGCACATTATATGATTAAGCCTTAGTGCCCAGAGCATGAAAATATTTTCCCAATTTAAATTGTCCTATTCCTCCAAGTTGCTATTAGTACTGCAGTCAAGAATACCTGCAAAGAAACTCACTTGGAAGCTATCATAGGAATCTTGAAGAAGACTGCCGAGTCTCAGCATCTTGCCGGTTCTGCCCGAAAAATTACATTGACAGCTGGGAGTGAATGGGTCTCTCCCACTTCATATTCATTCCATGTCTCTCAGAGGTGTTTACTTATTTATTTGAAACCTTTTCCCCAGCTCTTCTGCCAAATTAGATCCCAAAACAGCTTACATACAGTCAATAAAAACACTACAATCTCTGCTCAAATGCTTATGGTTAAAAGACATGATGCCAAAGGAAAAAAGGATGGACAGAGGAAGAAAAATGCATCACTTTCCCCATCATGTTGATTTTTAAATTGTCTGATGCTCTTATGAGTTGCTTGGGTTTAGAGTGTCATATTGGAAAGGTTACATTAAATCTGTCGAAGGCTTTCATGGCCAGAATCACTGGGTTGTTGTGAATTTTCCAGGCTGTATGGCCATGTTCCAAAAGCATTCTCTCCTGACGTTTCACCTGCATCTATGGCAGGAATCCTCAGAGGTTGTGAAGTATGTTGGAAACTAGGAAAATGGGTTTTATATATCTGTGGAATGTCCAGGGTGTGAGAAAGAACTCTTTTATCTGTTGGAGGTAGTTGTGAATGTTTCAATTGGCCACCTTGATTAGTATTTAGTGGCCTAGCAGTTCCAAGGTCTGCCTTCTTACTGCCTGGGGACATACCTTGTTGGGATTATTCACAGATATATAAACTCCATTTTCCTAGTTTCCAACAGACTTCACAACCTCTGATGATGCCTGCCATAGATGCAGGTAAAACGTCAGGAGAGAATGCTTCTGGAACATGGTCTTACATCCCAGAAAACTCACAACAGCCCAGTTACATTAAATCTTTTTTTCTTTTATTCTTCACCTGCCATTTCCTTATGACTCAAGCAGACTGTGGGCTCAGTAGGTGACTGATAATTGTACGCCAGGTTTTAATCCCCTTACCCTGATGTCATGTCATGTCTCTCTTCTTTTTTTTCTTTGCCTCAAATATTGAAAAGTTAATTAGAACTTAGTTAAATAAAGTGGCTAAATTTGTCAAAGTCCTTTTATTAAGACAGCATCCATTGTATCTGGGCTTTAAGCCAGAGCAGTGTCATGGGTACACAAGCGACTTAATTGTAATTAAGAGATGAAACTGAATATATTTGAAAGGAAATAAGAATTTACATGGTATTTAGAATGAAATTGAGAAACTGCCTCAAAGGAGACAAGCTGTAAAAAAATTGAACTACCCCATTTTGGAGACCTTGTATTTCTAAATTTGGTGAAGAATCATAACAGATCTTTTAATTCAATCTAGTATATATTGTTTGGAGTTCTGGATGTTTCCACTTCTATAGTGCTGAAACTATGTAGAAGAAATATTCCTTATTGTCTGATAGAAACTCTGGATCTGCCAAAGGGATCTTCTTTTAATTTCTTCTGTCCCTTTCTGGTTTCAGCAATGTTTCCAGATGAAATTGGCAAGATACGGGGTTTTTTTTATCCACTCAGAGAAAGGAATAAAACATTCATTCAGACTTCCCCAAATTGATGTCCTCCTAATGTTTTGATTCTCGGTTATCATCGGCCCTTGGCAGCATGGTCAATGGACAAGAATGGTGAAGGTTGTACAGCAGTTCAGACATCTGGAGGAAAAGATTATGTTAACCCATTTTAAAGCCTGGACAAGTTTGATGTAAATATTAGAGCAGTGGTTCCCAATCTGTGGTCCATGGGCCACAAGTGGTCCGCAAGTACTAAAATATGGTCCACGACTTCACCGTTACTATACTGTTGCAACAAGAGCAACTGGTCTTGCAAAATCCTCTTATAGTGCCAAGGCTCCTTAAATATGGTTTTTATGTGGGCAAGCAGATGGCGACTACTGGATGGCATATGATCTGTATCAGAAACTAGAGCTGATGTGGTCTATCAAATGCAATTTTCTGAATTAATACCCCAAATAACCAAATCAAATCTAAAGTTGACCAAAACCTGATTCGTAACCCTTTTGGTACTAATGTTGGAGAGTGGTCGGAGGAGGCCGGAGGTTTAGCACAGCTGGTAAATCGTCAATTGTTAAGTTCTATCAACCAAAGGTTGATAGAACCCCGGGTTGGCATGAGGTGCCAAATGACACCCTAGCTCATTGTTTACCTAAGCAATTCAAAAACAGCTTTAGCTGTAATTAGAGAAATTAGGTACAGCTAATAAGCGGGGGAGGTGTTTTACACCATAAAGAAAGAAGATCAGAAAATGCTGGGCGACCAAAAGGAAGGAGGAAGTCCTGATGGCTCTTCATCATAGAAGATAGAACAACCGCACCTCCTGGACTCAAGCCCAACCTTTTATGGCATCAAAAACAGCTGGACACTGAATCAAAATAAACCACCTCCTTCTATTGACTGTCTGCATTGAATGTTTGCCAAGTACGATGATCCACCCTCAGTCCCCTTCGGGGTGAGAAGGGCAGAATATAAATAAAGTGTTGTAGTAGTTGTTGTTGTTATTATTATTATGGTCCCTGGTCAAAGTGGTCCCTGGTCAAAAAAATGGTTGGGAACCAGCATGGTGTAAAGTCAGCTTGTCATAATAGTGTTAATGTTGGACTATGATGCTGGAGACTACAATTTGAATTCCCACTCTGCCATGAAAACCATGCACGCTACATACTCTCATCGCCAGAAAACCTTTCGTAGATTCACATTAGGATCACCATAATGACACAACAACAGCTATAGGGGGAAACGGCTTCCTTTTATCTATGTGACAGGGAATTCACATTCTGCTTCCCTTGCATAAAACAATCTATCAGAACAAGAGAGTGGGAAAACATCCATGTCATCAGAGAGAAGCTTTTAATTGTTTTTTGAATTTGTGAAACTATTCCGATTAAGTTGACCAAACTTCAGAAATCTGTCCAATGCTGTAACACCAACAGATCAGGATAAGTAGATTATGTATATTCTATATATGACTGTGCTTCTGAAAAGCAAAAATAGTAAGAGCTGGGTTCTGTTATCTTTGAGCCAGAAGCAACATGTGTAACCTCAGTGCTATCACACATCATCTGTTCGAGTCCTCAGTCCTGGAACTGAATCACTGCTGAGCCCAAGGCTCTCTGCTCAAATTAACTTCAGACTGTTTTCTTTCCCACCCTCATCTTTCATGCCTATGCATTTGCAAAACCTTCTGTTTGAAGGTTGTAATGTAATGTACCATTTAATTGAAGTGAAATCCGTGCCTGGAGTAAGCTTCCTCAGAAAAATAAGTCATAACGTAAGCAAAGGAGAAATAGGATCATTACGTGAGGGTCATTCATCCTTCTTTCTTCTTCCTCTAATGGCAGCTGAAGTATATATAGGAATCGGGAAACCTGCAGAAGCCACAGCTTGTACTCAGGAAGCGGCTAACCTCTTTCCAATGTCTCACAATGTCCTCTACATGAGAGGTCAAGTGGCAGAACTTCGGGGCAATATTGATGAAGCGAAACGCTGGTATGAAGAGGCCTTATCTATCAGCCCTACCCATGTCAAAAGTATGCAGAGATTGGTAAGTCCAGTTTTACACCGCACTATATATGTTGAACACCTTGAACACATAACAAGAGCTATACTTATATAGCATTGGTGGGTTGTTGGGGAAATCAGAAGCAGTTGGTGTATCATGGAACCACGGGTCATTGGTCCATAAAGGATGGTGTGCAACCTACCATGGTGTGATGACTTTCATAAATAGATGCTGATTTCTTTTTAAAAAATGAAATTCCAGCATTAAAAGGGTCCAAAATTGTAAGGTAAAACAAAGGCAAATCATGAGTTTTGTTTAGGTAATGGGATTAGTATATTCCAGTAGTTGATTAACTGGCTATTTATCCCTAGCTTATTCCAGTCCAAACAACTAGGATCAGATTTGAAGTGCAATTTTGTGGTCCCAAGAGTATGTCTTTTAGACATTGGACTGAAAAGGAATCTACTTTCCAATGTCTTATACAAAGATCCAGTCATGGAGAGAGTAATCTAATATTGATGTAGAGGGGAGATCAAGATATTCAAGAGGAAAGGCAGTGAGCAATGTACGTATTTATTTTACGTAATTAAAGCAGACAACAACAGCATTTGTGGATTGTTTTTAGACATTGTGTTCATATGTTGCTGAAATTGACTTGTGGAAAAGAACTCTTGAATAATTTGTGGGTTGTTGTAGGTTTTTTCGGGCTATATGGCCATGAGGTAGTGAGGTCCTCACTACCTCTGAGGATGCTTGCCATAGATGCAGGCGAAATATTAGGAGAGAATGCCTCTAGAACATGGCCATATAGCCCGAAAAAACCTACAACAACCCAGCCTTCTTGGATCATTATAGAGTATTGAAGTCTGTTTCCCAAAACAAATGTTACACATTCCAGAATTCCAACTTTTTTGGTTGGACATTTGGCTTGAAAAATTTTGGATTTCAGTCAAAATATAGTTTTCAACAGCAATTGAGAACTAAGAAGTACCTTTTAGTTTATTTATTTTAATTGCAACAACATTTAATTGGTTTACATTTATTTTGAAAATCTAATTTTATAAGAGATTAGTAAAATGGCCATTCTGTTTACAAAAGTAATGCAGTAGGTTACACAGCTGAGCTGCTGAACTTACTGACCAAAAGGTCAGCGGTTTGAATCTGGGACGCGAGATAAGCTCCCGCTGTTAGTCCTGGCTTCTGCCAACCCAGCATTTTGAAAATATGCAAATGTGAGTAGATCAATAGGTACTGCTTCTACGGGAAAGGATTGGTGCTCCATCCAGTCATGCCAGCCACATGACCTTGAAGGTGTGTATGGACAACGTTGGCACTTCGTCGTAGAAATGGAGATGAGCACCACCCCTCAGAGTCGGACATGACTAGACTTAAAACCGCCTTGAGTCACCAATAAGGCCGAGAAAGGCAGTATACAAGTATAGCAAATAAATAAATAAGCTTAATGTCAAGGGGAAACATTTACCTTTACTTATATTTCTTTCACTTTCTTTTAATTGTTTCTCCGGTGAGTATCCCATATTTAAGCACAGTGGTAAAAGGTTCATTACAAAGACTGGAAAGAAAGAAGGTTGAAAATATTGTTAGAAATGGACTTCCCTCGCAGTTGATGAATCTGTAGTAGAATTCCCTGCTCCCCAACTTGAAAAAAACATTATAATTAATGATTGAACTGATGTGTTTTATTAGCATTTTATTACAGATTACTCTGTCCATTGTGACTTTGTTGTTTTAAGGAACCTTTTTAACTTACCTATTTAAATTGCTCCTGCTATGCATAGAACTTGGCAAAAGAGTTATAATCCCCTGCCTAGTACTCAACATTTTTATTTAAAAGTAGGAGCTTGTTTCAACCTAGGCTTTCATGAATTAATAAGAGAGGCTTTTTCGCATTCATCCCAAGGGACCAGATAAGGAAAATTACCAGACAAGAGTAAAAAACAGGGGAAGCATTTCCATTTTACTTTCCTGACCTCTCAAGATATTTAAACACATTGCATCCCAAAAGTGCTTTGTAAAAGAAATGGGTGGCCAACCAAAAGTGGTCCACTTGAATTAAATAATAGCCAAATACAGCTTAAGTATCCCGTATCCAAAATGCTTGTGACCACAAGTGAGTTTTTTAAATTTTTATTTTGGAATAATAATGTATAATATAATAAGACTTTAGTTATATCCCACCCTATCTCCCCAAGTGGACTCAGGGTGGTTAACAACAAACATTGGCAAATATTCAATGCTATGTATTCAGTGCTAATTTTTCCAGCCAGCAGCCAGAGTGACCAGACATTTCCACTCCATGGTGGCTAAATATGATATTCTATGCCTCATCTCAATATGCTTGGGAGCAAAAATGAGTTTTTAATTGTTTTTTAAAAGAGAGTAAGGAGGAGGCCTTTTTATCTCTTTGGGGAGAGAGTTCCAGAGTAGGGGGGCAATCACGGAGAAGTCCCCCTCCCTTGTTCCCACCAGCCATGCTTGAGACGGGGGTGAGACTGAGAGCAAGGCCTTCTCCGCTGACCATTGTGCCCAAACAGGTATGTAAGTAGAGATGTGGTTTGCCAAATGTCTGGGCCTAAACCATTACAGGCTTTAAAGTTAATAACCAACACTTTGTATTTGAATACCTGTATTTCATATATATGTGCATAATAAGTTATCTTGGAGATTAGACCCAGGTCTAAATACAGAACTCACATATGCTTCATATATATTGAATACAACACATATGCAGGTGGTAATTTTATATAATTTTAAAATAATTGTATATGATGGTGGTAATTTTAAAATAATTTTGTTTATTTACATTGAACCTTCAGAAAGTGAGAGTACCACTATCTCAGCCACCTATCTGGATGTTTTGGGTGGCTGGGATAGTTATTACTTTGCATTTCTTGTAATTGACACTTTATGTACTAAAAAGAAAAATACTCGTATCTCAATATGTATCTGGCTTTTATTTATATTGCCTCTGTTTATTAGCAGCTGCATCAACATGGTACTGTACTGTTTATTGAATGTGTTGTTTTTACCAAGCAGATTGTCTCACGTTTCCTTTTATCTTTTCATTGCAAAAGTACTATAAGACTTTATTGTTCAACCTAGAATGGGCAGTGATAACTATTCTGTTTTATATAAACTTTCTAATATCCCATAGTGAATATAATTGTGATGTAATATTTGTTCTATCCGCTATTTTGTCTTTGTGTCTTTTTATGAGGGTTTAGTTTCCTTCCTTGTAAAACTACTGGTAAGCCTGTTGACAACAAGAATGGAATTAAATGCTTATTTACTTAGTAAATTTTGCAGAATACATTTTAACAAGAAAATTTAAGATGTATCCTTGTCCAAAGGTTGGGTTCAGAGCTGAGTGTATGTGCATGCATAAAGGAAGAACCTGAATCTCCATGGAGAGTAATCTCATCCAAAATGGGTTGAATCTCCATTCTCCCCTCTACCTTTTGACTGACTGTTTTGTCTAGATTTAAGTTCAGATGGGTCATCCTTCTCCAGGCCATTTACTGGCACTAGATGCCGAATTAGAACTGATGGATTCCCTCAATTTAGGAACTTATCTCACTATGGTCAAGTAGTACCATAGTCTCATGGTGTGTATAAGAGGGAACACACCAGCATTTTCTTTCATTCTTTTGTAAAGACCCCGTAGCTCTCTGTTTACACAGATCACACTATCGGCTTACAGCACTATTTCATAGGCCAGTCTTCCCTACTGTTGCTTTGCCCTTCCAAATGAGTCTCTCATTTGGTAATCAGCCATGGATTGAGGTTCTGGGTTTTGGTCTGCCACTTTTGGACTCTCGCTTGCTGAGGTGTTCCTGTGAGTATCTCTGTAGATCTTAGAAAACTGTTACTCGATTTAAGGCGTTGGCGTGCTGGCTGATATCCGAACAGGGGCTGGGCCGGAGTTGTCACTGCCTTGGTCCTTTCATTATCGGCTGCTACTTCCTGGTGGATATCAGGTGGTGCAATACTGGCTAAACAGTGTAATTTCTCCAGTGTGTAGGGCGTAGACGTCCTGTGATAATGCAGCATATCTCATCAAGAGCCACATCCACTGTTTTAGCGTGGTGAGATGTGTTCCACACTGGGCATGCATATTCAGCAGCAGAGTAGCAAAGCACAAGGGCAGATGTCTTTACTGTATCTAGTTGTGATCCCCAGGTTGTGCCAATCAGTTTTCGTATGATATTGTTTCTAGCGCCTACTTTTTGCTTGATATTCAGAAAATGTTTGACAGTGGGCTATTGAACAAGGGGATTGGATGTGAAACTACTTCTTGAGAGCTCTGTATTTATTTTACTTTAACTCTTTAAATTAGTGATGCCCTAAAAGCTCTGGACAAACATTAGCACTGTTGTTGATTACATCTCATATTCTCTTGGCTGAGTTCAGATAACCCCGTTAATTCATAGTTTTCTCTATCAAGTGGAAAATCTGACTGAGAGAAATTTCCCATTTAGTAGTGGACCAGGATTTTTACAATCCTTTGAAGCTGAGATTATAAACGGCATGTTCATGTGAGCTTTCCATTTGTTGCCTATTTTGTATGTTGTCTTTGGAAAAATATACTTTTTTTCCCATTGCTTATCAGTTCCTTGATCACTTAAACAGAAGCGGTTTCATGATTTAGTCTGTTTTTGTTTATAAAATGAAAGGCAGTGGCTAAGTGACAGTGAGCCCAGGGCAACTAACTCACAAATCATACTCATGTTCTAATTGCATCAAACAAATCGGATAATTATAACCCAGATGTATGATGTCACTCCAGTTTGCTCTTGTTGGATGTCAGTTTCAAATAGCCCTTTACAATTGAAAGTTCTGTTGTGTATATATAATTCTATCATATTTTAAAATGTTATCAAATTTCGCACATTGGGTAGTAACGTGCTTTTGAAAGGAAGAACAGATGCAAAGATATAAAATGCAAGGCGGTGATGAATGCTAGTATTTAGAATACTGCTAATGCTGTCAACATTTCAACCTTCTGGTCTTTGTGACAACAC